TCCCCCTCTCCCCCTCTCCCCCTCTCCGTCGCACTCCCGCCAACTCACTTGTGCGCCAAATCACCCTCGCGCCGCGCCTCATTCCGCCACGATCGGTACTGCTGGTCGCTCCCGGCCCCCTCCCCGCTCGTCCACCCCTGCTGCTGTTGTTGCTGTTGCTGGTGGCTCTGCGGGGGATACTGGTGTCCTTGGCCTCCTTGCTGCCCCCACGCGCCCTGGCCTTGGCCGGGATATCCCTGCTGCCCATGCTGCTGTTGCTGCTGCTGCCCATGCTGCTGGTGGCCTTGCTGCTTGCCGCCGCAGAACACCTGCAGCAGCTGCAGGAAGAGGTTGAGGATTGCGCCCATCGAGGTGGAGAGTGTCGAGTTTACGTTCTTGTTGACAAAGTGGCCCGGTTCCTGAGACGGTTCGATGGGTGATCGGCCCTGGTCTGGTCCACGTCATTTTCGTGTTGCTGTGCAGGAGAATGAGGAGCGAGCGTGATCTCGTCAATGCATGAACAACGCCGGCCAGCGGAGTGGCGGTCACCACAAGGTCGTGGGTGATCGTCGAGTTCGGACTGAGCATCGAAAGATGGCGCAGGCGATCTGGTGAGTCACCGTCAGCCTCATCTGTATCGCCAGAGTGGGGCAGCGGGCAGGTGGGATGGCGAAATGGACGACTTGGTCTCTCGATCTCCTCTCCATCTGGGTCGCGCCAAAGACGGCCCGTGACGGCCTCAGTCATCAGTGTCCGATAACCCATACAGATGCTAGTATGTACAACGCTACAATCAAGCCTATGATCCCCCACCCTACCTCCCCAACAACGCGCGCCACGTACTCCGCGTGCGCTCCGCATGCGGCGCCTTGCTCAGCCGCACCTCGGCGCCCGCATACGCGGCCAACAACGCCGCCCACGCCTCCTCCCCTACCTCCGGCGTTCCCGCACATATCTGGCGTCAGCTCTCTCCTCCTTGCCCTGCTCACATCATACCACACATCCAGCAGCGGCAGGCCCGGACACGAGGTGACGAGCGCCCACCCCCGCTCGAGCGGGGACAGGGGCACGCCCTCGGCCTCGAGGCGCGACACGAGCTTCTCGAAGAGCGCGAGGTGGCGCGCGAGCGCCGCCGGCTTGTGCTGCCCCGGCGGGAGGCGGAGGAGGCGGAGCGCGCTGCGGATGTTCTGTGCGCGGCGGGGGAGCGGGCACGCGCCCCGCGGCGTGTAGGCTGGTAGCGAGGCGGGCGGCTCGTCGTATGCCGGGGGCAGGCCGAGGTCGAGGTGAGCGTCGAGGTCGGGGTCGAGCAGACTCCGCCTCGGACTTGGACTCGGGCTCGGGGTCGGGCTCCGAGTCACGCTTGGACTCGGACTCGAGCTAGCGCTCAATAGTGGTAGTGGTAGGCTCTGTGGTCGTGACATGGTGGCGAGACGTCGCTCGCGCGCCACCTATATGCTCGCTCGCTGGGCTGCGATCGCACGTGATGCGTGTGGGGGAATGGCTTGGCTCGGCGATGGCTTGGCCGTGGTCAGGTGTTCTCTTCGGCGTCCGGAGCGGGGTGCGTGCGTGTACTTGTGCGTGTACTTGTGCGTGTACTTGTGCGTGTGTTTGTGCGTGTGCGTGCAGAGCAGAGGACATGCAAACCAGCGGCTGGGAATATATGGCTGGCGCAGTGGACGACCCGGTCCGCCGCGCCGAAAAGACCGCACCGTGCGGAACGCAGGTACGCGGAGGACGGAGGACACCGGTTCCTCGGGTGAACCGACGTGGGCAGCGCACGCCACCGCGATTCGCAATTGTATGTCAGTGAGCGTTCGATTCGAGCGGCCCACCGCCGACGCCTGGCCTGCGGCCTGCGGCCCGCGACCTGGCCTGCGCCGCCAAGGCAGGGCTCCAATGTCGGGTCCGAGCGCCCCAGATTGCTGGTGAATTCGCATCAGCAAGATCTGGTGTATGGGTGTATTGTAATATTGTGATACAATTGCATCCGGGTACGTCAGCCGGTACCGCGGAGGGTGGGGGAGGGCGGGCAATGCGCGTGCCCGCCGTCTTGCAGCTTGCTTGTTGTCGAGGCCAGACGGCGCGGCCAAGCTGACAAGCAACAAGCTGACAAAGTGACGAAATGGTCAGCTGATAAGCACTGCGCTTTGTTCAAGCCTCTGGGAATCTCGTTGCGGAATGCGCAGGAATGTGGAAGACACTCGAGCCCTTCCACCCACTCCCCGCAATGCATATGCACATACAGCTACAGCTACATCTAATCGGCGAGCACGCCCGCGAGCTGGTTGCGCGCCTGCGGCTTGTTCGCGACAAAGGTCTTGAGTGGCGCCTTGAGGGCGGGCTTGCGCTCGACGACGTCGCGGATCTGCTCGAGTGGCATTTGGAGCAGTGTGCCGAACGACGCCTGCCCCAACATGCCGACCAGGAGCACGAAGCCGTCCCACAGCTTGGGCATCTCCCAGATACGCTTCGCGACGAGCTTGGCGAGCACGTTGTTCGCGATGAACGGCACGAGCGACTTGTACGTCCGCATGGCTTGGATGACGGTGCGCACGAAACACACCGGCAGCGGCGCCGTTTGGTCCACGATGCGCTGCATCGCGTTTGCGAGCACGTCGGAGCGGAACACCGTCGTCATGCTGAAGCAGATGCCGATCGCGTCCATCGTCGGCTTGACCCCCGCCTTTTCGCCGTACAGCGTCACGAGGAGGTCGGCGGGCGTCATCTTCTGCAGCGCGCTCGCAAAGGCCGTGCGCACGACGTCGCGCGAGTCGGGCTGCGCGAGGAGAGAGACGATGCGCGGAATTTGCGCATCGATCTCTGCCTTGTCCAGCTCCCCGATGACGGGGATCACGAAGCGCGGGTCGAGCTCGCGCTCGCCCAGCAGGCTGCGGATGACCGAGACGAGCACGCCCGAGGAACCCTCCGCACTGAGCGTCTTGACGACGCGCAGCGCGAGCGGCTCGGCGCCAGGCGGGAACGCCTTGAGGATCTCGAGCAGCTTCTTGCTCGGGCCCAGCGACTTGATGAGCGGCGCAAGGAGCTCCTCGACCTTGGTCTGGATAGGTGGTGGGATCTTGGGGTAGATGGAGAAGATGGCGTCCAGGAGCTCCGGGTCGCGACGTGAAAGCGCAAATGCCAACTCGACGTGTTGTGAAACAGTGTCCTCGTCCACCGGCCCAAGGTACTTGGTGTCGATCGTCTCGCCAATGTCCCCATCTTCCATTGACTGGTCGCCATCCGCATCCACGGCTGGCTGTTCTGCATCGTCTCCATTCGCGGGCTTTTCCCCACCCGCGGGCTCGCCCTCCTCCACAGCCGCATTCAACTCCGCCGCCTCCTTCTTGACAGCAAGGTGGGCGCGTACCGCTAGCCTTCGCAGCACGCCGAGCGCAAAAGAAATGACACTGGGCGACATGGGCGAGTTCGGCACCCACCGCCGCACCGTCGTAATGGCCATGACGCGCACCTTGCGCTCGGGATGCGTGCACAGCTGCAGCAGCGTCTGCAGTGCGCGCGGGCGCACTGGGGGCCGGTGCTCGGCGAGCTCGCGCAGCGACAAAAAGCCCACGATCATGCGGTCCGGGTCCTCGCACAGCGGCTCGAGCATGTCGATAGCTGCCTCGGGCAGCTCGGGCAGGCCGACGAGGAAGCGCGCGAGGCTTTGGTCCTTGGCGTCCAGTGTGGGGATGTAGGCCGTGAGGATGGCCAGCAGGCCCGCTTCGTACTGGTTCTTCTCGGAGCGCCGCTTTGCAAGCCACTCTTCGTTGAGCCACACCGTCGCGAACTTTGCGCGCGCGCCAAAGTCCCGGGCGACGAACTCGCCGATCAGCCGCCGCTTGTCATCGCCGCCACGCGACGATATCCGTGCCAACAACAGCATCCACATCTCCTTCGGCTGCACGGCGGTGCGCGGCGCGTCGCTGATCTTGAGGTCGGCCAGGTGCGACAGGTCAGACCCTGTATCCCAGATACGTTGTACTGCCGAGTCTGCGATTTCGGTCTTTTCATCCAATGGCAAGGGTTCGGGTGGTGGCAGGCGGAAGTCGGTGATTGTCACTTGCTCTTCGAGCTCGCCTTCCAATGGCTCCATCAGCAGCTCGTCGTCATCCAAGTCCATGTCGAGCGGGTTGAGCACGAGGTCTTCCTCCACCTTGACCTCCTCGCCCAACAGACACGGCGCGAGCACGGGCACGGCGTCTGGGTCGTTTTCCTGTATCGCTTGCCGAGCATTGTCGAATGCGCGCGCCAACATCTCGTCCGAGATCATCTCGAGCCCGCGCATCACGACCTCAATCACAGGCTCGAGCGCAAACTGCGACACGTCGACCATGACGCGGCCCTTGCCGTCGCCGGAGCCCGGGCGGACGTCGTGGCGCGCGCGTTTGGCCGTGCTCGACTCGGCGTCGGCTTCGAGCGGGTGCTTGCCTGTTGCGAGATTGGCGCGCCGTTGCCGCCGCTCCTCCATGTCCGCGGCATACGCGAGCTCCATCCGCTGCTTCTGCCGTATGAGAGCATCGTGAAGCTGCGCGGAGAATCCCACAAGGGGTGGATGCCTGCTGTCAGCACGTAATTGTTGCGCATATCAAGGCCGTACTTTGCGATATGGGCCATTACCGCGCGCAGGGTCTTCTCGACCGCACGGATCTGCATGGGAGGCCGCCGCGCGGCCTCCATCGCGCTGGGTGTCCACGACGCCATAGACTGGATGATTAAGGGTGCGAGAGCTGGCCGCGTTTTAGCCAGTGGTGGGAATGTATTAATGATGGGGTGGAGGATCGCGGGATCGTCAGTCGAATACAGCTGTGTCATAAGCTGCGTGCGGAGCATCGTTGTCTCCTGCTCGAGCTGCTGCGCATTGAGCGCCGAGCCGGGCTGGACGAGGGCCACGCTAACGTCGACTGTAGTCGCACGCAACTGCCGTCAACTTTGGGGCGCGGCTGCGACATACCCGTGGATCAGAGCTCGGCGCCCGCGTGCCGACAAGCAACACCTTTTGCACAAACTTCCACGCCGCAGCCTTGACGCCCGCGCTCTGCGGCTGCGCACCAGTGTCGAGGACGAGGGAGATAATGCGCGCCTTGGACGCCTCGAACACGCCGTGCAGCTGGCGACCCGCCGTGCCCGCCGTCGCAATGTACCTGAACACCATGGGATACACGGTCGCGAAGATGGGAATGGTCGCGCGTATCGTCGCCACCGAGCCCGTGTTGAGCAGGCGGTTAAGGTATTCGAGTGACTCGCGCGCAACGTCCATCTTGATCTCGGCGCGCAGGCCGGCGCGGCCAACAGTCAGCGCTAGCATGTCGAGCGTCCATGCGCGCAGGAGGGAGTCGGGGCCGTCAACGACCATCGGCAGCAGCTTGGTGCAGAGGTCGGGCAGCTTCTCGGGATGTTCCTCGAAGCGGCTGCCAGCGGCGAGGAGCTTGTTCGCCTGGTCGGGTGTCTCGGACTCGGCCGTCAACGCCTCGGCGAGCGCCTGTAGGGGATCCGTCGGGGCGGTGGGCCCGACGGACGCGGACGGGTAGAGCTCTGGCTCCTCGTCGGCGTAGAGCGACATGGGTGTATTGGGCGGAGTGTGATGTGGACGGCTGAGCGGGATGTTGGACTTCTTGTCTCTTGTGCATCATTCAACATCGCGTGCAGGCCTAAGTGGAGGTGGAAGATTTAGGCTTGTTGGTATTTAAGGCGCCTATTCCACAGAGTATTTCCGTGGCTCCATGTTCGTATATCCGAAGTGCGGAGGTGGTGGTATGTAGAATAACTCGGATGGCGTAAGCGTCCTCATGTCGAGTAGCGTGCAAAGCGTAATATCATCGGGGTGACCACCTGCAGGACACTCGCAGCCAGCACTCCCAGCTGACACCAACATCCAGCACGCAGTCCCAATCATGTGTATCTGTGAGCACGTAACATCGTACCCCACGGTTGGATTCATCCATCCTCTACAGCACATGAACTGCGTGAATTACTATTTGGCAAAGCATGAAGCCATACTTTACAAACATCTCATAGCAGCCCCTACTTCATGGCAGACTTTCCGACGTTCCAAATCCCCTTGGCGGTGTACTTGACGGCGGTCCCTGCGGCCTTGGCGGCACCGTTGCCCACACTAGTCAGCGCCTGCGGTCAGCCCGACCTCTTTCAACCCCACCTTATCGCGCTTTCCGGCGTCGTTAACGCTATCCCACCCCTCATTGAGCTTCTCGCTGGCAGTCTGCATCATAGCATTCGCGGCCTTGGTCTGGCGGGCCGCCCACGCGCCCCAGCTGTTGTCGTCCGGGTCGGGCTCGTCGTCTTCGGGGTCCGAGGTGCGCGGCCCACGGCGCGGCGGAGGCGCAACAGGCTCGAACATCGGATCGCCGGGCTTGCGCTCCGACGGCGGGATGTAGCGTCCTCGCCGGGGCCGCTCAGGCAACCTGTCGTCGTCGTGTGATCCCCTGGGCTTGTCTGGCGTGGGCGAGTTCGAGCTCGAAGTACGGGAGTGCGCTGGCTCAGTCTTCTCTTTACCCCCGAGCCACGAGCTCCAGCTATTCCCGCGCTTCGGCTGGTCCGCTACTGCGGCAACAGGGTCTGCGCTGTAGCTCCGCTGCCCAGCATACCGCTCCGCGAAGCGAGAGCTGGCGTCGCGCGTGCGTGAGTGGCCTGCGTCGGTTGCCCCTGAGGCCACATTCTGCTGGTGCAATGCGGAAGCGTACGGCCCGCTTGAAGCGTACGGGTTTGCGCTTGTTGATCCGGATGGGCTTGCGGGGGGGGGCGGGTCGACGTAGGAGGTCGAGTTCTCGCGTGCGCCCGACCACTTGGTGCGTGGGCCTTGCCAGCCTTGGCTGGGTGCAGAGTTCTTTGCGCGGCGCAAATCGCGCAAGGAGTTTGAGTCGGGCATGCTGGAAGGGGGTGATGAGAGAAAGAGGCGGTGACAAAGACCGGTGTGAGAGTCGAGTTTCGGGTGGTGGAGGTTGGAGCAATGACGCAGTCGATCGGCGGTCGGCGGGTGTACTCAGTGCGCTCTGTCTAGGGCTTGTCGGCGATGGCAATGGGAGAGTGACAGAGGTGAGCAGACGAGAGGAGTCGACTGAGGATGCAAAGTAGCGACGGGAAAGAGCAGTGTGATGGATGGATGGATATACAGTACTCACTCGGTCGCCAAGCATCCCCCCCCCGCCTTCGCCGCCCAACCTCCACCCGCCGTGCCTGTCTCCCCCGCGCCGGCTGCCGGCGTGTGCCGCCAATTACCCTCCCAGCCAAGCCAAGCATCGACCTCCATCTCTGTCTCCATCTCTTTCACTCACTCTCTTTCAACCATGTCGCGAGAAGACGACGAGGCGACAGTCGACACGCTCCTGCGACACACATCCCCTCCGGCCCCTGCGACCACCCCTGGGCCGTCGGAACCAGCGGGGCGTGCTGCCCAAGCGCCGCAGTCACGGACAGGCTTGGCTGAGGGCGCCGAGGTGCCCCCGTCGGCGCGGGAAGGGAGCCGTCTAGCGCCACCGTCACTATTGCAACCGGCCTCTCTCCCCGAACCTTCTACTATGCCCGGCGAGCCCGATGATTTGGCTGGCCGCGATCTGAACTCGAACCTCGAGGAGCAACGTCGCGAACGGGCGGAGCGGCTTCGTGCCGCCGAGGAAGCGCAGGACGTGCTTGCGCCTGAGGCTGTACAATCTGACAGCGTGGAAGCGAGCTCTGCGTCCGCTTTGCAGAGTGACATGGAAACAAACGCGGTAGAGGAAGGGCGCGCCTCATCGGCACGGGCGGAGAACAAGCCCGAGATGGCCGACGGCCTTGAGGGCTTGCGTCGGCGACGCCCCGAGGGCGCAGAAGCTCGGCCGCCGGAAAGTACAACGACGGCCACCGATTTTCCCCATCCCGCAGTGGAGAGCGTCAAGCGAGAAGCAGCTCGGTCTGCGTCGGGCACCACTACACCCGCCGGAGACGAGCAGCAGTGCCGCATCTGCTTTGGAGGACGGGAGGAGGAAATGGAGCTGGGCCGCTTGATATCCCCATGTCTATGCGCCGGGAGCATGCGGGTGAGTGCTGCCATCGTGCGGGCTGACTCCAGTATGTTCACGTCAAGTGCATCAACCAGTGGCGCGGGACGGGCGCGAATGCCAAGACGTTCATGGGTGAGTGACCGCCTCGTCGGCTGCACTGTGCTGGAGCTTAGCTTGCTAAGACCAGAATGCCCGCAGTGTCATCACCAGTATTCTATCCGGCGCACGCTCGTGTCAGGACTCGCCACGTCCAAGCCGATCTTGCTCCTCGTCACCACCATCCTCTTCCTCTTCATCACCTTCATTAGTGGACATGTGTTGCTACGCTACCTCGTCGTGGCGGCTGAGGTCGCCGCCGAAGCTGAAAAAGCAAGCACTGCTGTTCGTGAAGCAGACACGAAAGTGGGCGGCATGACGCGGCACGGCGATGTGTGGGAGAGCGAGGACGGGAGCGTGATCATCGCGGCGCCGGGCCTGACGCTGATCTACGACGTGATCGTGGAAGCCGTCGACATCTTCCTCGATCTAGCGGCCGCCGCGTACGACATGTGGCCGCGCTCCGGCCGGAGCTTCCACACGCGCGCGTCGCGCCTCGCGCTCTCTGCGGTGATCCGTCTCATCCTCGGCCTGAGCGTGTTGGGCTCGCTCTCCTTCCTGTCCCTCCTGGCCTCGCTGTCGCTCTTCGCCCCCCTCCAGCTCGCATACACCATCTTCGGGACCGGCGTCTTCCGCGGGCCGCTGGACAACCTCCGGCGGCGCGCGCCAAACGCCGACGGCATCCTCGTCATCATCGCCGTCGCGATCGGCGTCGCCAACTCCGTCGTGAGCGTGTACGACGTCGTCCGCGCCGTCGCGCGCAAGCTGCTTTCGTATGTCGAGACGCAGATCCTCGAGGTGAATCCTGAACAGGCGCGCCTCGCGCGCGAAGCCGCCGCGCGCCAGCCGCACTGGTTCGACGAGTGGGTCGCCCAGCGCCGCTGGCGCCGCCTCGCGGGCTGGTACGAGGTGTTTGTGCGGTTGTGGGAGTGGGTCAAGGACCGGTGGCGTGCGGGCGTGGCGGCCGTCAAGGCGAGCGTTGAGGCGCGGGTGCATGCTGCTGAGCGTGCGAGAGGGGGCGCCGAGGACGTGCTTGTGGGGTAGTTCATACGAGTTCGCGGAACATGCATGGGCATAGGACGTAGTGGTCGAGCGTTTGATGGCAGCCTAATTTCCAGTGCTCAATTCGGTCTCGATCACACGCCATCTGGATCAACAACTGACCCATGCTGCCAACACACTTGCCAACATGTCAAGACACCATCTCATCCATCTCATCACGTGCACCCACCACATGACCATCTCGTAATGTGGCGCATTTCGCCGTGCGCGATTCGCCGCCAGCCGCCACGGCACCAAAACACCATTCATGTCCAGGGCGGGAGCGCGACTGTCTTTCTGCCATCTCCGGCTCATGGGCGTGGGGAGGATAAAAACATGCAGCGCATCTCTCTCTCTCCCATCTCCTTTCTCATCTGCGTCTTCGTGCGTCCCCCTTGCACTCTCTACTCTCCCCACTCTCCATGCTGACCCCCAGCTCGGCCTAGCCCTCCTAGCCCTCCTCCTACCGTTCCAACCCAACCTCTTCGCCTCTTCGCCTCGTCTCCACACCACAATGGCACCAGCAGCAACCACCTCCGCCGCCGCGGACCCCTACGCCTGCGCGTCCTACCCGTCGCTGGACGGCGCGACGTCGGCGCCGCCCGCATACTGGCCTGCAGACCGCAACGCGACCGCCGGCCAGCGCGCATGCACCGCCTTCCCAAACTACTACATGGTGCAGTGCTGCGGCTCGGCTTCGGCCGGCGCGGGCAGCGCAAGCGCCGTGGTGCGCGAGCCCAAGTGTGGTTGGGAAGTGTGTATTTCCTCCACGACGGACGCGCAGTGGGAGGCGTGCTTTAAGGCGCTCGATGCGCAGCGGGGCAACGTCTCGGATAAGGGGTATACGTACAAGTGTGCGAGTGGGGAGAAGAAGAAGGAGGAGGAGAAGATGAGCGGCGCGCGCCGCGCCGTCGTCGGCGCCGCGGTTGTTGTTGCGGCCTGTATGGCGCTCGCGCTTTAGTTTAAACTCGACGGGTTCTTGTTGTTATGGTTATTTGTTTGTTGGATCCAGACGTGGGGCGCATTGATCTCGTCGAGTGGCAGGCGCACCGACCCGCTGCTTGTTCTCGTCAACACTTCCATATCATGGCACTACTAATACACGCAGTACACGGGAGATATCTGTACAACGCTCGACAGTCCCTGACAAATTAGGCCATCGCACTGGGCTGCTCAAGACTCTCGCGCCGGTGCTCCTCGGCAGCGCTCACAAGCGCCTCAATCCCCAGGAGCTGGCTACCAGAAGGTCCCGCCCAACGCTTGCTCGGAGGCGCAAGCGGACGCGGCTCCCGCGATCCTTCACGCGACGACCGGAACGACGACAGCGGCGGCAGGTTGAAGCCGTCGCGCTTGTGGTGCTCTTCCCGCTCCCGTTCCATCGACCCCGCGCTGCCGATCGACCCAAGCGCGCGATGGCCACGCCTAGGCGACTGCGACCGGCCCCGGCGCGGCGACTCGTTCCGGTCCCGAGGGCGCAACGGCGGCAGCACCGGGAACCGGCTGAACATGGGCTCCGAGGGCGTCACGACAGCCTGCGAGGCAGCCGACGACGCCGAGCTCTCGGGCTGATGCGGCGACGACGCATGCTGCGGACCCTCCGCGACTGTGCGGCCGCGGTTGACCGGCTGCGGCGAGGCCGACTTGGGGCTCCGGTCCTCGAGGTTGGGGAAGATGCCACGCTTGAGCGTCTCGCGTCTCTCCCAGCCCCACTCGCGGTAAAGCTCGTTCCACCAGAGGTTGAGACGCTCCTCCAGGATCTGCTGCGACGACGTGGGCGAGGTCGCGTGCAGGTGGTCCATCCAGCACGTCACGATCATGATCGGGAAGAACACTGGGGTTAGTGGGGTGCGAGGGAACGGGTGGCAGAGAGTCCACTTACTGAGAGGACCCTCGCGGCCACGCTCGCCAAGAGCGTCGATCAGAACGGTGAGGTTGTCGACCGCCGAACCCTGCCGCTGGACGGCAGTAGGAGAGCCGCCCTGCTTGGACTGCAGATAAAACATGCCGCACTCGGCGACCGCGTGCATGTACGCAAACGCCCACCCGCTGAACGCGACGGCCGCGACGGGGCTTTTGATCTTGGGCATCATGAGCGGCAGGTTGACCTCGTCAAAGCGAAGGTTGCGAGGAAGGTCCGTCGCCCAAGCCTTGAGAGCCGTCTCAAAGCTGTGTCCAAACATGGGGTTCGCACCGCCCGAGTTGACAAATGTCATAATGTTTGCAAAGATGATGAGGATGCGCACAATGTGGCCAAGCTCGCCGACCTGCCCCTCCTCGCTGTGCCAGTTGCCGCTGCCCACAGTGATGGTATCACGGCGTCCAGGCTCGCGACCATTTGCGGCCATGCCACCAAAGCGCTGCCAGTACATCTCTGCGCCAGGCAGCGGGATATGCGCAATCTCCGGGTCCGACAGCCGTCGGGGATGACCCGAGGCCACCGCGCAGATATCTTGCAGGACAATAAGCCACAGAGTGCGGTTACGAATCTCGGCCATGGTGAAAAACTCGGACGTGTTCAGATTGAGGCGGGGCGACGGCGGGTGAAGTTGACCATTCGTACCGGGGCGCATGACGGCAACGGCAACATCGAGGTAGTAGAAGCCCAAGCGAGCCTCGCGGTTCGAGTTGTAGAGCATGCTAAGCAAGACGCAAGACTGCACAAACTCCGTCTCTTCCCAGGTACCCTGATCCATCTTGCGCTCCTCGTCAGACCACCGCTGGCGGACCTCAATGACATGGTCAAGGTTGGCGCGGCAACGGTCGGCGAAAACAAGACCGCGCTTGTGGGTAGGGGTGTCTGGTGGGTACGCCTTGACGAACGCGGGGTTGTCGCACAGTCTTGCGCCCAGGGCGTACAACGCGTCGAGGAGGAAAGGCTGGACGCGATTGAGGTACCAGCGATGGTGGAAAGTTGGGGCATGGAACATGCACGCATACGCCGGAGTGCGCCGAAAGGCAATGTCAAGCAACTCGGTCTGCAGAGCCGGATCACGTTCGACAACCTCAATTGGACCAAAGGGTGCGGAACGATGCTCACCTGACGTGCGCCACTCGCGCATGTCGGTGCCCGCCGCCGCGGCTTCGTGGTAGTCACGACGCCATCCTTCAGGGCTTCCGCCATTGGTTGCGGCACTGGGCCGGTCCAGGTACGCGGCGGCGGCGGCGGCGGCGGCGGGTTTGCCGTTGTCTTCACTTGAACGCTTGTTTAGGGGTGTAGCCGACGAGTCACGAGTGCGGGGTGGCGGAATCTGCTCACCCTGCGCATTGAGGTAGATGCACGGGCGGGCCGAGAACTCGCAGTTTGAGCAGGGGGCAAAGCCATCGCAGCGACGCTTGTTCTTGTGGCAAGCGCTGCACGCCTTTGCGAGACGTTTCCTCTTTCTGCCCTTGGTAGTGAGCTCTTCCTTGTCGAGATCGGGCTTGGGACGAGGGGCGGAGAGAGGAGCAACATCGCCTACGACGCCGACGCCATACATTGTCTGCCCGTAGGCAATCGAGCTTGGGTTGCGGACGATAGCGGGTCGAACAGGAGTGTGAGAAAGTGGGCTAGGCTGCCTGACAGCGGCGTCTGCCTTGGCTGCGTCGAGGGCTTTAGGATTGGGCGAGCGAGTACGGGGTTGAAGGGGAGGTGGCGGCCTCAGACCGCCGCCATCCCGCTGTTCACCACGCGCCGTGGTGAGATCCTCGTTGGCCATGAGGGGGGGGTGGTGGATCGAAAGCTGATGGCCAAGCTATTAACGCGCTATGCGGGTGGCAATCTGTAGTCGCGTGTGGTGGGTGTGTTCGAATAAAACGGGGGGCGAAGAGTGGGAAAAGCGGGAGCGGGGGGTGGATCGTTGAATGGAGGTGATAAGGGATTGGGATGAATGAGACGAGTCCGAGAGCGAGGGAGAGGGGGGAGAGAGTGCGGGGGATGTGGGGGCCGTAGCCGAGAAGGAGGGATTGAGCGCAGGGGGAGGGGGATGGCGAGGATGAGGACGATGAGAGTCGTGTTGTCGGGGGAAATGAGACGGCGACGCCGGAGTGAGGAATGACAAGCAGGGGACGTGCCCACAATGGGGTGGGATGTGGATGTGGCCGATGAGTGCCGATTTCCACACAGAGAGTCCGAGTGCGGGGGCGGGGCGGGCGGCGAGGAGGAGAGGACGAGCGTGCGTGCGTGCGTGCAACAGAGAGAGAGAGGAGGACCGAGAGCGTAGGAGTCAGTGTTTTGGGACACAATAAAAGCGTTGCGGTGGTGGCGCGTGCGGCAGTGGGTTAAGGGCAGGTGATATCGGGCCCAGTTGTATCCGAAAGGTATCGAGTGCCGACCGGGAGAGGGTGCGGAGGGGTGCAAGGGGGAGGTAACAACGTCGATGGCGGTGATGGCGGCGATGGCGGCAATGGGGAGTAGAGGAGCAGAGAGAGTCAAGTGTCAGCGTAGATGCAGCGCAAGATGAGGGAGAGATAAAAGACGCACCTATTGTTATTGAACTGGGGTGAGTCGCGAGTACGCTGGCAGCGGTCGCGTGATGAGAGGGCAAGTGGAGAGAGCGAGGACCGCGACAAGCGTGAGGAGCGTGAGGACGACGACGAGAGCGTCACGAGGAGAGAGAGGGAGCGGGGAGAAAGGACAAGCGCAGCGCTTCAGGTGGCTTCAGATGGCGACAGTGCACTGCGCGGCGCACGGGTGGCGTTTGAAGAGGGAATGTCGAGATTGTGGTGGTGTCGGGCCTTGCCTGCCGGGGGGCCAGTGTGGGAATGGGCGACGTCGGAGTCAACCACAGCGAGGGGGATGGAAGAGATGGTGGCAAGAGAGCAAGAGATGGCGAGGAGAGAGGAGAGGAGCAACGAGCAAGAAGGGAGATGAAGAGAAGAGACGAGACAAGACGCGAAGGCAACGACCAAGACGCGGAGAGCGATCGCCTGAGTGGCGTAGACCATTAGGAAATTGCTATTAGAACATTACAATCCATTACAAATCGGCTACACAGTGGGGCCCTCGTTGCCGGCGGTTCCCCATTCAGAATTCTTCCATCCTTGGCTCTCTCCCTCCGGCCGGTCTATCTCCTCACGTCTCTCCGACATCCCATGTGCTCTCTGTTGTTTCTCGTCGCCGGGGCTCGGCGGGGCGACTTGGAGCACTCGCAGAAGCACAGACATGCAAAAGCATGTAACAAATTTATTCTGGCGTATTATGCTGGGGTGTGGGGCGGCGGGATCGAGGCCGAACGCCGGTCACTCGCTCCAATATTGGCTTGAGCGAGATCGCATCCCAGCTGGCAGCTGGCCACCTGGCAGCTGGCCACGGCCTCGCCATCCAGGCTGACTGCCGCCGGGCAGAGGTGGCACGGGAGAGGAACGACTAGGCCAATAAGAAGACACGTCGAGATCCTGGCCACCACTGCCGCCGGCCGATGGTCGGGCGGAATGAAGGGGTTGTGATTGCTTTCCGAACCGCGAGCCGGTCCATGCCCGCGGCTATGTTGGGTTGGCCATGTTCTGGCCACGCCTGCTGCGACGCCGGTGGGCAGCGGAATTGCAGTCGACTGAGGTCAGCGGGTCAGCCAACGGGCGACCCGACATGACTCGGCTCCAGCGTGCCGGCTTTTCTTACGCCTCAGCCTCAGCCTCAGCTTCAGCCTCCGAGCATGGTCATGGGCTGGCGACTACCGCCGGCGCCGCGGTCTCCGTGCTTTGGCCTGCTGCATGCCCCCCCATCTCGCCTGCATCTCGGCTCGAGGAGCAGGTCCAAGCGTACGAGTCACCGTCCGGCCTCGAGCCAGATCTCTCTTCTCCAACGATGCCATCTCGACGCCTCGACGCCTCGCTGCCTCGTTGCCTCGCTGCCTCTGCCACTCGCACAGACCCGCTCGCCCGCCATCGCTCGGGTTTTGCCGTGTCTTGTTTTACGCGAAGCCGCCGGGCACTGACCCACCTGAAGTGCCTGAGGCCCGGCCCTGAGCTCCCCCGCCGGCAGTGTCCAGGAATCCAGGGTGCCTCGGGGGACGCCGACGTGCCTCGATCACGGGGGCAGCTTTGCGCTGCTCTTGGTGGTGGGCGGGGGTTGAAGAGGGGTGGGCGGCGGCGGAGGGTGGGCGACGGGGCAGAGGGCCGAGGGCCGAGGGCGGAGGGCGGAGGGCCTTTTCGTTCTTCTCGGTCTGTCGCGCGTCGATGCATGTGTCCAAGGCCGCGGAGACCCCACACTCCGCCACTGCCGCCCGCATTAATCCGACACCCCTGAGCGTGCCTCTCGATTTCGCCGAGCCGACCATGCCGCCGGCTGAGGCTGCCGCCGAGCGGCGATCGCACGCAAGTGGCGAGGCGAGACGAGGCGGAGGTGGCTAGGTCGCGAGGTCGCGAGGTCGCGAGGTGGTTAGGTGGCGAGAGCGCGCAAGTGAGCGCTGGCACTGCCGCATCGGCACGGCGCCACACGATCAAGCTCCACACCTCCAGCCCGCAACGGATCCACCGTCAGCTGCCCACGTCACCGGCGGCCACGGCCGCAGCACGTACGATGTAGGTCCTTCATCGCGTGGTGGGTGCGTGGCGTGGTGGCAAATGCCAGCGTCGGTGGCGGTCATCGGTGTGGTGATGGAGCGCAAGTCGTTTTGGCATTGTGGCATCGTCACCGCGGAGTGTCACTGAAGCAGGCTGTGCACGCCATGTGCCTCCAGTGCGGCAGGTCATGGGCCATGCAGGCGTGCATGCAATCTGTTCCGGCCTCTCTTCCCTGCCGATGGGGTAGGTTCGGAGCGTATTGTTAAGGACCATAGAAGTCGATCCCGGGTGCCAGATCTGTAGCTTAGACTGCAGGCTCGGATGGGGTTGCTGGTGAGCTGATCATGTGCGATCCGTGTGCAGGTGTGCAGGTGAACAGCGTGGCTAGCTCACCACGGCCGCCAGGAAGGGGTGTGCACCAAACCACGTAGCTGTCTGGCAAACTGGTGGCGAAACCACGGCGCGGATTAGAGGCTTGGCTCGTGGAGCACCAGGCGGGACCTCTTGATCACCAGGCGGTGTCAGGCAATCCAGTAGCGAGTGGACCGCAGAAGGTCGGTGGGCGGAGCACCGCCTGGCCGCTCTCAGCACCAAGCCGTGTCTGGAAACTCGGTGCGGATCGATAGCGTCCGTACGGGTCAGCGGGCTGTATGGCGGTGTCAGCAGTTCGCTCACGTGTACCGCAGCATGTGTCACTGCTCTGCGCGTCTGTTACATGGAGGATTAGCTCGTGGGTGGGTTAGTGGGCCAGCGTAGGCAAGCGCTACCGAAACGCTCGCACTCGATCAACTTCCATCGCCGGTGTGCTGGTGACAACTCTGTTCAAATCAATATGTCTCTGCGACCACTGCCTGTGGCCAAGCCACCACTCCGTATTGGGCGCGAACACGTGCCATTGCCTGGCCGGGTGGCATCAGCACATCAGTCTGCGTCAGCTGAATCCCCCTGGCCCTCCCCCTCGGCCCCACTCGGCCAGTCCCGTCAGCCACCCGCCACCACCACCCGCGGCGACAAATCCTACATTCTACATTACTACTACGCCTCGACCTTCTTGAGGTTGGGGTGCAGCTTGGGCTCGACGGAGAGGACGCGGTCCACGACCTTCTGGAGTGCCGCCCCGCGGTTCTTCTTCATCGAGTCCTCGACCTCGGCGAGCTGCTTCTTCGTCGACTCGTCGATTGTCGACTGCGACGTCGACTTGTGCGATGTGTGCTGTGGTCCGAAGTAAGAGAGGGTGATTCGGGACGCGGGGAAGAATGGTCATACGATGTTCGTCGAGTAGAGCGTCAGCATCGAGCCACCGCCTCACCACGCCACCCACCTCCGACTCAAACTTGTTGAACTCGGCCTCCTTCTGCGCCTTGTACTCTTCGATCTCCTTGGCCGCCTCCGTCCGCGCGTCCTTGAGCTTCTGCACGCGGTCTGGGGTTAGCGGGAGTGTGGGGGACGGGGAGGATAGCGTGGGTGGGCCAGCGCATGGACACCGCCCGGCGTCCTAGCTCCAGCACAATCTGGGCCGACCGCCTCGCACATGTCCGCGACCCGCACCGCGAACGCGAACCGCCAGCCCCCCTCCCTCACCAATACCCACACTGGCGCGCCTTGGTCACGACCTTGCTGGCCTCCTTCTCGGCCTCGAGCAGCGTCTGGATTCCCTGCGAGTTGGCGGCCTGGCGTCAGCTACCTCACGGCGTGGGCGGGGCGGCAGCGGGCAGCTCACCATGGTGGATGGGGAGATGTCAACAGCGGTGTGGTGACGAGTGACGCACCGTCAGGGTGTGGAACGGCGGAAGAAATGACACGTCATAGTGTCGCCCCCCGCATGCCCCCACTCGTCCACTCCCGCTGCCCACAACCATGCATCAACGTCGTCAACGTCGTGCATCGGATCGTGTACTGTACGCTAACATGGAGGGAGTAGGGCGACATATGTGCCATGACTGTCTACTGGAACAACACAGCTCCCCTCAAGTCCGACAACCTTGCCATGGCATCTTCCAAATCGACATACATGCCGCCTTCTACTACTCTGACGGCACGGTGGTGGGCCGCGGCGCCCAGTCGCCGAAGATGAGGGCGGCAAACGCCTCAAACTCGGGCAGGGCGAGGAGGGCCTCGACCCCGCCGTCGGGGATGCCCTCCCACACGCCGCGCGACCAGCGGTTGAGCTCGGGCAGGATGTCCGCGAGGCGGCGGCGGCCGCTGCCGTCCGGGTTGCGGAGCGCGTCGGTGAGCGACGCGAGCATGGCGCTCACGCCCGTGTCGAGGAGGGCGCGCGCGTCGGGCGACGACACGTGCTCGCGCGTCTGCGCCAGTAGGGACGCGAGGTGCACCGCGCCGCTGGGGATGTCGGCCGGCGTGGCCGGCAGCGGGCAGTCGTGCAGCGGCGGCAGCGGCGTGGGCGGCATCAGCACGGGCGTGAAGTCGAAGAGGGCGCGCTTGCCGTGCGCGTGGCCCGCTGCGTCCAGGTGCTCGGCGGCGTCCGTCTCCACTTGCGCACGGACTTCTTTTACGAGCGCGGGCCACGTTTCGGCCGTCAGCTCGCGCTTCAAGCCCAGCCCGCCAAAGACGCGGTCTACGGCGCCCTCGACGCGGTCAGAGACCGTGCGCCAGCCCTCGTTCAGCAGCCACCACGAGTACGTCAGGAAGAGGCGTTCGGCGTCCGAGTTGCCCGCGTCCCGCTCGGCCTCGAGGGACAGCGCGAGGTCGTCTTGCAGCGGCAGTGCCGGCGTCGACCACGGGAGGTAAGAGCGGAGCGCACTGGTGTCAGGCTTGAGAGTACGAGGTACGTACTCAGGCACATAGTTGTCAGGCGACAGATACGACAACCACGACTTGGGCGTGTACATGGCCTTGAGCGCGGCCTTCTCGGCCGCCTCGCGCTCGCGCGCGCGGTGCGCAGCCTGCACATCCTGGAGGTACCGCGTGCGGGAGAGGATGGTGAGCTGGGACGAGGTCAGGAGGTAGATGAGCGGGACGAGGTATGCAGTGGCGAAGGCACGGGTGAGGCCTGGATGTCAGCGGCGTTGCTGCCTCAACCTACTTTGAACCTTTAGGTCGCGCCACAGCTGCTTCTTGCTCCGCGGGTCCTGGGGCGGCGATGGCTCGGGCTCGTTGAGGCGCTGGGGCGGGCTAGCTTCGAGCGTGGACAGCTGGCTCTGGGGCGAGGGCACAACGGAGGACGTGTCGGTGGGCGGCAGCGAGATGGCCTGCGAGATGGTCGAGGAAGTGAGCTGGTGTGAGCTTCGGGCCTGGACAACTTAGGATGGCGTTTGCCACGGGACGCAGCGACTTTGACCACGCCTCTGCTTACTCACCAGCTCGTCATCGCTGCCGCGCGTAAACTCGCTCGCCCAACTCTCGGCAGTCATAGCGACCTCGGTCGCGTCCGTGGCGTCCGTCGCATCCGTGCTCTCGCTGACGACACTCGCGAGGCTCTCGGCAAGCGTACCCGGCGCGGGCGCGCGGCGGGCGGATCTCTCCGCAGTGCCCCCGTCCGTCGAGTATCCGGTCGCCTCGTCATGCTCGTGCTCGCGCGCCGCGCCGAGGAGGAGCGAGTCGGCCGGCGTGCTCGCGGGCGTGGGCTCGGTCGTGCCCGTGTCCGCCGGCGAGCCGAGCGCGCCCACGCCGCCGTCGCTGTCGTCCTGCGTGACTGGGAACGACGCCGCCGCGGGCGCGGATTTCGCCTGCAGCGCCTGGCTCGTCGTCTCGACGGGGTAGGCGGCGAAGAGCGCCGGCTCGAGGTTCGGGAGGAGCGCGTAGAGCGTGAAGCTGATGGTTGAGAGGAGCGAGGTGAAGTGGGCTTTGAGGCTGGGGTTAGGGGGAAGTTGCGGGGTGGGGGAGAAAGGGGGGAGGGGGAATCTCATCGCCCTCTCGCAACTTCTCGCTCGTCTCTGTATTCTGCTCTCTCATTCCCCTCTGTCGCGCTCATCTCTGTACCCTCTCGTCCCTCCTCTCGTGTCCACCTCTGTGCCCTCTCGCTGAAGCAACTCGCAACTCACGTCTCGCGCTCCCGCCGCTCCCGCATAGCGCGTACGCGGGCATCGCGCATCCGCGCGCCGAGGTATCCGAAGAGGAAGTAGAGCGTGCCGACCGCGCCGCTCATGAAGAGCATGCGGCGCACGCGGCGCTGCCAGGGGTTCGCTGGCATGGTGGTGAACGAGTGTTGGATGAGATGTGGAGTGGGTGAAAGTAGGTCGAATGCGACAGAGGACCGGCTAGGTATCGCCGCTTGCCGGCCGGCTTGCGATGAATTAGCGGGGCTATTTCTACCGCCGTCGTCATCGGCCCAGACACGACTAGCAGAATACTCGGACATGCATGGGCCGAGCCCGACTAACATAGGTATAGAGGCATACATGCCGATGCCGACGGCCCCAGCGGCCATTAGATACTCGTACACTCTTCTAGTCCTCCCCCTCGTGGAAAGGCCAGGCGACAGCAAGGCGCGGCGGTGCGCCGTCCACCTTGCCGATACCGCCCTCGGACCACCACTCGTCGTACTCCTTCTGCGCATCCTCCAGTTCCGCAAGCATCCTAATCGCGTAGGCATGCAGGCGCACCGGATATCCCGGGTCGCGGTCGCGCGCCGTCATCTTGGGCGTCGAGTGCCCGTACGCCTCGAGCGCCTTCTCCGTGCTTGGCGGGAGCAGGGAGGAGCGCTTCGAGAACGAATGGCTCATGTGCGGACTGGTCGCGCCACGCGGGCTGGGCGGCTGCGAGTTGCGCCGCGGCGACGTCGGGTTGCTCGCCTCGAAAGTGTCACTCAGTGGTGACGCCGTAGGCAGCTCAAACTCAAAGGCGAACTGTGCCTTGGCGTCCTGGATCGCCCGCAGGTGTGGCTTCGGCCCACCCTCAGTCGAGATGTTGGGGGGTGGCGACTTGCGCGCGCCCCGAACGATAAAGTTTGATGGAGACGAAGGAGAGGTCGGTGAGTTCGCACCTCCCCCTCCCATGCCCACCTCGGGTGGCATCAAGCTCGGACCTAGCGTAGATCGCGGCGAGCTCCCCGCATCCGCCTTCCGCACACCTGGCGGCGCAGGGATGTTCTTCTGCGCCGGAAGCGAGCTGCTGGACGCAGTGTGGGGCGAGCCGCTCCCGTTGGATCCGGTGGACGCTGTGGAAAGTCTCGGCGACCTGACCACAGGCGAGGTGTCGGGCATGCTCGGCGAAGAAGGCGGCTTGGGCGAAGGGACCTTTGGCTTCTTCTGGATTCCGAGAGTCCGCTTCCACCACTTGCTCTTCGACTTGCCCTCGTCCTCCTCCTTGGCCAAGAGTCTTTCGGCACGAGTCGGCGCCTGCGGCGAGTCAGTCACCATTGTTATAGTGGAACGACTGCGCGGCAGGCCCGGTGTCGTCGGGGTTCTAGGCGGCAAGGACGCGTTGTCGAGGATCTCGGGCGACTGCTGTGGCTCGAGCTCGTCGTAGCGCTTCTTGATACGATCGAGGCGCTGCTGGAGGAGGCGGACCGACTGGATCTCCACCTCGTACGAGGCGGGGTCGTCCTTCGTCGAATGCAAGTGACCGAGTCGGAATACTACCAAGCGCAACACGTAGCTGCGCACCGACTGCGACCAGAAGAGGAGCAGGCGCTCAAACAACTTCTTGTCGAGCAGGATGTCCATGCACAGCTCGCGCCGGTCTTCTGGCCGCGCGGTGAGGATCTCCCAGTGAGTGAACACGAAGGCGATAACCTTGACAAGCGTGAGCGCGTGCTCGGCCTCGTTGAGAGCGAGGCGGAACAGGCCGATAAGGTACGGCACGTCCAGCGGCGAGTGGACGTCGCCCCACTGAATTGGGTCGACGAGGCCGTCGAGCAGATCGAAGAGGCAGAACACACCCTTGGGCGCGTACAAACTTGTTTTGGAAATGAGGTTCTTGGTCCACAGGTCGACCATTTCGCCCCACAGCTGCGAGCCCTCGCACTGTATGACCATGTTATCGCGGGTTGGCACATTGATCGGCGCGGATGCGAACATCCACAATGTCTCAACGAGGCGGCGATTGGCCGTCTCCAGCACCGCGGGCTTCTGGCTACCTCGGAAGCCCGCAGACTCGGTCGCGTCAAAGTGCTGCGTCGACGACGACGTAGTGACCGCGTTAACGGAGCCGAGGATGTACGAGTGGCACTTGATCGAGAAGATGGTCGCGAGGTGGGCGTAACCGGGTGCGCGGAGTAGCACACTGGCCGGGATCGGCCGCCGCTGTTGTTGGTAGTACAGTATGGCTGGCGCGAGGTACAGCGCGAGTTGCTTGTGGTACGCTCTGTAGAACGCGGGGAAGAGTTCGGAGTCGTCCGACTGCCATCGACGCAGCCAGTTTCCGGGTTGGAAGTGAAACGCCTCCTTCTCAGCTGCCGAGTCAAAGTCTGGGTCGAGCGTGAGCAGGCGGCGAGTGTACGACTGCGAGTCGTCAAAACAAAGACCCTGCAGGTGTGCCGGGTAGACGGGCTGCGCCTCCGGCGGGACCTTTCGCCCAAGCAGGACGGGACGCGTGAAGCGCATGAGCGCGCCTCGCGGCGGCTGCAACACGCCCACTAGCTGCCCACCCACGTGCGGGATGCGGAAGAACGCGAATGCCTGGGGTTAGGTCTGAGCGAGAGAATACAACTCACCAAGAAACGGCCGCTGAACAGCAACGTGTTATGGAATACGCCCTTGGCGCCGAGCTTGTCCATGACAAAGTTCATGACGCGCATCATGAGGTGGAGGAACGCATCCTGGTGCGAAGGCGAGGATTCGAGCGCCTCCGCGGCGAGGCACTGGCTCTCAAGCACGGCCGCGAGGCCCTCCAAGCAAGCGCCGCGCTCGTTGGCCGGCTGCTCAACACGTAGCTCGAACAGGAGCGAGTCAGCCCAGTCGAAACACACCTCGCGAAGGTCGCGATACGCTGCCTCCTCATGACGGGAATAGCAGCGCCGGTCGACTTCCTGGACAAGCATCAAGAGCTTGTTGCGAATGATGCCAGAGCGTTCAGGCCCGCTGCCGGTCTGCGTCGGGTAGCGGAAGTTGTCGAGGGCACGGATGAGGTCTTGGGTCAGGTCGCGAATCGACAGCTTGGGGTCAGGCAGGACAGGCTTTGCGTCCGCGAGCAGTGTTCTATGCGTTGGGCGGCAGCGGAATGGCGCCTTGGACGGCGGGATCTGCTCCGGCTCCTTGGGCTCCTCGAGCTCGCGCGGTGGCCTGGCGGGGTTGTCGTGGATGAGACGAGCCCTCGACTTCTTAGGCGCCGCCTCCGGCTCGGGCGCGCGCACAGGCGCTCGCTCCGGCGTGCGGGGTTCCGCCTTGGGCAGTGCCTTCTCCACCAGCATTAGGGCAGACGTGCTTGGCGTTGGAGTCGGCGTGGGCGTCTCAGCCTTGGGTGTGGGTACTTCGGAGGGCGAGACTGCAGACCCGGTCTCAGCTCGTGGCGTCTCCAAGTCCACCATCCTGGTCGGGGTAGCTTGGGAGGAAGATGATGGAGTCGCATTCACTTCAGTCGAGTATGGGCGATCGTACGCCAGCAGGCTCTTGCCCAAGCTCGTTTCCGGTACTTCGAGCGAGATTGGCGGGTCGAGGGAAGTCCGCTGCACCTTGCCGTCGCCGCCCGTCGCGAGGAACGCCGAATGCGCATCCTCTGGCGTCCGAGGCGGCGAGGGCGAGCTCGTCTCGTTCGTGCTGCTCCCGCCGGACGGCGTGCGTGAGTGGTCAAACGACGAGCCGTGAGTTGAGAGCGAGTCGGTATCCTGCGATGTGCCTGTCCCGGTCGTGCCGGCCGACTTGCCAGACAGCCCCGAGTGGGTCGTGCCTCTGCTCGTGGTATTGGCGTCCGGCGATGCCCTAGTGGTCGTCAATTTGGGTGCCGAAGCAGAGCTCGTGGAGGTTGCGAATAGTTTGTTGCCCGTCCACGGCTTGTCAAAGTCGAGCGGCTGCCACACATCGTCGCCACCGGCCGCAGCTGCGTCAAACGACTTGGATCTGCGTCTCTCGGCACGGGCAGTCTTCGACGCCGGCGATGCTAAGAGCGTGCCGCTCGCGGAGCGCGAGCGAGACCCAGGTGTGCCGGGCTGGCTGCCACGGGGCGATGAGCCCTTCGGAGATGACGAGCTTGCCCCGAAGCCATCAAAGGAGAAGTCGAGCGCGAGGTCGAGCTCGGGTAGTTGCAACAGATGCAGCGAACTCGAGGACTTGAGCGCGGGTTTCCACTCCTGAGCGTCCTCCGCCAAGCTGTCGTAAGACGACCGCCCCTCCTCGTCCGCGAGTTGGCGCACTGTGGACGTAGATCCAGTGTCCGAGCCTGCAGGGCTGGTGGCGCTGTTGGCGGCGTCAGAGATCGTGTCCTTGGACGCGCCCCGCGGTGGTAGCTTCGAATACCGCAATGGGTCAATCTGTGAGGCAGACAGGCCCCCACCCGACTTTGCAGATGGAGGCGAAAGCGTTGCCCCTGCCGCGGCAGGCAGTCGTGCGCCTTTGGCCTCAGTCGGTGAAGGCGGCGCAACGCGTCTAGCAGCCTTGGGCGATGGCAGCTTAGGCGAGAACTTGGACAACACGGGCGATGACGGCTTCTTTGCATTCCCTGCTGGCTTCGATGATGGGCCCGAATCCGACGGCGGCAATTGCGGGAGGTCGCGGTCGCTCGTTGTGGACTTCTTCTTCCCTCTAATCGAAGAGTCGCCAGAGCTCGAGGTTATTGACGGCGCCTGGCGCTCGTGAAGCGACGAACGCTGGCCGTCTGGCTGATATGGCGCCGAGACAGATATCGGTGTCGATGTGCCGCTCGAGACATTTGGCTTTGGTCGCACCAAGTCGCCAAGCGCGAAGCTCGTCCTGGGCAAATTGGGCGTTTCGGGCGGTGGTTCCTTTGGCTTGCTGCGGAACAGATTGCGGAGAGCACCAGAGCTCTTCTTGAGCGTGATTGCTGGCCCCTTCCGGTTGTCGCTGTCGACGCCTAATGCTCTCTGGGCTGCGGCTTTTGCGTCTTTAGCATCTCTTTCCCGCGACGCTCTTTCGGAATCAGGCCGGAACATGCCCAACAGTTCGGCTGATGGGCGCCGAAGCAGATCCGACGACTTGCGCGTCTTGATGGTGGGCTGGGTAGGCGCTGTGACGTTGCGTGGGCGAGGATTGTCATCGCCTCCCGCTCTTCGCGCAGCATTCTCAGAGTTCGGCGTCCTCCTTCCGTCGCTCATGCCCGAGGCCGTCCTCCGTTGTTCTGGAACTGTTCGCAGATAGTCTACCGACTGTATGGAGCTGGGCGGCTGCATGGGGTCAGTAACAGAGCGCTGGTGGTGGTAGTGTGGGATGGAGGGTTGTTTCGAAGTCTCGCCCGTCTCGACGCGTGAGGGCACCTTCTTCTTGGTAGGAGGATCGCGACTTGTGGTCTGTGATTGGGACGGGGGAGGGGGAGCGTTACGTCGTGGTTGAAAGTTGCTGACAATGTCTCCAAAGTCATCGTACCGTCCCCCCTTGCCGCTGTTGCTCGGACCGGCGTTGCTACGATCCGTGCGTATGGGCGCAGGGACGTTGCCGTTCTTGCCCTTCTTTGCGGCTTTCAACGACGACGACTCGGATCCCGAGGCCAGCACGCCTGGCGGCGCTGGTAACGCGCCCTGGGCCATCGCGGGTAATGGTTTGGGTGGGTCGGCGCGTACTTTGTCCGTAGAGTCGTCCGAGGAGCCGTCGTCGACGCGTCGGGCGTTGTTGCCAGAGGATGTAGCGGGGCCGCGGCGCGATGTGGATGCAGAGGACGACGTGGACGCGAGGCTCGAGATGGTGCCAGTGTTGGACGCGTTCTCTGTGCGCGTAGTAGCACCAGACGCCGACGGGCCAACGCTCCACGTGCCAAAACTGGGGAGGGGCGAGACGGGCGAGCTGGAGAGAGTAGGGGAGGATGCTGACGCTGAAGCAGTGGATGCAGTTGATGGGGTGGGGTTGTGCACTGGACCTGCTCGTGATTGCGAGGTCACTTGACGCGTCGAAGAGCCTGAGCCTGCCGAGGACGCGATGGGCAAGTTTGCGTAAAGATTATACGAGTATTGCGGCGTCGCGTTTGTGGGCGAAGGTGGTTGCTGTGTGTTAGTCTTTGCGTGTGGAGTGGGGAGAGGTGCGTGATGCGGGGAAAGCTGCGCGCCATCTGGTGACCCAACCGTGCACGACGGAGAGACGGGGTGGGAGCAGGGGCTGGAGCATGTTTGGGAGAGAGGCGCGACAGCGACAGCGGCGAGACCGGAGAGGATGAGGTGACGCGCGGTTGGACAATGTTGGTCTCGGTGTCCTGACCTCGACGCGTGACCTACTTCGTCGTTCATGAGACCGAGGATGCCTACGCCGCCGCCTAGCTCTACGGGTGCGCCGCCGCTAAGAATGCGGCGTGAAGAGCGGGAGCCTGGACGCGCGGCGGTGCTGCCGCTTGGATTGCGGCGGCGTGGCGCGTCCATGGCAAGGCGGAGGAGGTGTGGAGAGTGGAGGGGGAGGGTGGGAGGAGGAGGAGGGGAAGAGTCGCACGGGCCACGCGAGCGGATCGCGTCGCGAGGAAGCTTGGCGCGAGGAGGGGGGGAGGGAGGCGACAGCGATGGCGACGGCGATGGCGAGGGGGAGACGGAGGGGGACAAGGATAAGAGGATTGATGATGAGGACGAGAGAGAAAGAGAGAGGAGAGTGGAAAGAGTAGCGTGGAGGAGAGAGCCAGGGAAGGTGACAAGTCTAAGGGATCCTCGCCCCTTCACTGTACGTGACTCTTTTCCCTCACCCCACGCGCCGCCGACTTGTACGGTGGAGGTTGAGACTCTTCACAACAACAACAATCACTTGCAGCGGCGTCTACTCGCTCTCGCACTCGACAGCCAACAGCCATGCAAGAGCCACAGAGAAAACAACAATGCAGAGGCAGTAGCAGCCAGCCAGCCAGCCATCTGCACTGCCTCAGCAACTGTGTCGCTGTTGGCTGCGCTTGTTTTTGGCCCACCCCAATTGCCCAGCGACCAGATCCCAGAAGATGCCAGTTCACAGATCAACACCCAGCACCCAACTGACCGTATGTGTTCCGTCTCGAGTCGTGCTGGTCGTGATGGCGAGGATGGCTGATACGGGGATGCGGGGATGCGGGGATGCGGGGCCAAGGACGAGGGAGGAGGGAGCGGGTTTGGCGGGAGGAATAGACTTGGGATCTGGCGGGCACGGGATGGAGCTGGTAACCGGAGGAGTACAGCCGGTGGAGTCGGACGAGTCGGACGAGTCGGAGGATGGGTGATGGAGAGTAAGTAGTGCGCGTACCAGTGCGCGTGCGAGTTGCGCGATCGCAAGATTAGGAGGCGTCGGCTAGCGTGGATGGATGGACGCGAGAGGGGCGCGTGTATCGGAGAGCGGGCTTGAGCGCGGTGTCGAGTGGCGTGTGCGAGTGAGCGAGTGAGCTGCAGTAGTGGGAGTGGGGGAGAGGGAGAGGGGGAGAGAGAGAGAGCAAGGCGAGTACGACGTCGAGAGCAAGTAGCTTGGCTGCATTGGCTGGAAACGAAACCTTGTCCTTGTTTCCCGTTCCTCGTTGACAGCTCTTCTCAGCTCCTCAGCGTCATCACTGTGGGAAGACGGCGCCATGCTCCCTCTCGACTCTCGAGAGCAGCATGCATTGCAGCAGAGGCGTCGGACCGCATGGACCGAATGCATTCACAGCGGGAGGCACAGATTACAGCATCGGGTCGCCATGAAACGCCGCGGGCCGCGAGCCTCCCTGGCGTCTACATAAGTCTATGTACAGTACGACCCTCGGTTTCTGGCAAAGTCGCCGCCTCATGGTCTTGCAGTGATCTTGTCGAGTTGTCGAGTGCTCGACGCTTGTCCCAAGTCTTTGAGATGAGGCTTCGAGAGGTGAGATACGATGACGCTGACGTTTATGACAAGACATGGCAGGTCGCGCGCGCTCTGTACGACTTACCCTGTACACTCTGAATTGGTGGCGTTGGTCGCGATGCGATGCGATGCTCCCCTCCGAGCCTCAGTCAACCTCAAAAGGCCTCGAGAGATCTCGAGAGCCTCGACGCCCTCAGCTCGATGCCAAGCCGGATGCATCAACTCATCCATGCTCAAACTTGACACACGCAAACAAACAGAGAATCAGGAACACACTGCAGGGGATCCTCCGAGGGATCAACGCACGTCATGACGATCCCCTCTCATCCCATCCGTGCATCAAAACATCCTCTCGGCGCTGACAACTCTCAGCTCAATCAATACCCATAGCCCTCCTCTGATCCCACAGATCAGATACTGCTGTACTGTAGGAGAATTAGGCCGGCACAACAGGCACAACAGAGCAGAGATGCATCCCCCTCGTCCCCTAGTGTCTAGACGCGTCTCCTGCGCGCCCTCTACAGTGGTGTCATGTCGCAGATTCTACTGAACCAAACCGCCTACATGAACTTGGCGAAGAGCCCGTCCTTCTTCCGCCGCGCGTCCCGCGGCGCGTGGTCGGCCTGCAAATTGACGAGCGACTGCAGCGACCGGAGCACCTGGCGTCAGCAATTGCCCAAGGTTGATTCCAGCTGTGCGTCTCGGACGCGCCATTACGTTGCGCACGTAACGACCTCGTATCATGACATGTTCGAAGACTTTAGGCCGACGCATTCTCTTGCCCCCCCCCCCCCCCCCTACCCTCAACTCACCTGCTCAAGCTTGTCCCGCCGCTCCTGCAGCTCGAGGTGCTGCCGGATCTTGGGGTTTTCCAGCGCAAACTTCTTGATCTCGTCCCGGTCCAGGTCGTACAGGATCCGCGAGTCGATCTCGCGCGGGAACTGATAGAAGAACTGCTCGAGAAGCTCAATATTGATAAACATCGTTGACGTGTACGCCAGCTTCTCGGCCACGACGGCCAAGAACGTCTCGGGGCAGAACGCCGCCTGCTCGGGCCCCCCGCGGCACCGCTTGCTCCGGATCGCCTGCTGGCGGAGCTGGGGTTAGCTGGCTCCCGGCTCCACCAAAAACTTACCTTCAGCAGCGCAAGGCGGTTCTGGAGCAGCAGGGCATTTCGCCCGTCGATGAGCTGTGCTGGCGAGTACTTGTACGCGTCGACTTGCGGCGCGCTGTCGTCCTCCCCCTCGCCCTCGCTGCCAGCGCTGCGCAGCCTATTCTTCGCCGTCCACTTCTCCAGCTCGTCCACGTGCTTGACGAGCGCGTTGAGACGGCGCGAGCCGCCCAGCCGCGAGCGGATCTCGTTCAACTTGGCGTCGCACAGCACCATCTCCTCCTGGAACTTGCGGTCGGCCCGCGCCCGCCCGTTCTCCCACTCGCGCTCGTCCACCTCCACCTCGTACTTGTACGGCTTGATGCAGTTCTCGACCTGGTCGGCCGTGATGCCCATGCGGTCGCGGAGGAGGGCATGTGAAAAGTCGACGATGCGCTCGCTCGCCGACGGGTGGAAAGAGAACGGCTCGCCCGTCGCAATGCTGTCTATGAGGCCCCGCAGGCCATCGGCAACGAGTCCTGTCGAGTCACGCCCCACACCGCTCTTGGTCAACAGGCTCGACGCCGTGTCCAGCTTGTACTTCCAGTACTGCTCGAGATCGTCCTGGTTGGCGAGGCGGCGGTCGTCGCCAAGGCGCGTCAACTCAGTCGCACGCGCCTCGTCGTTGAAGTACAGCTGCTCAAGGATGTCCATGACCTTCTCGTCCAACATCGCCGTGAGCTTTGCTCGCACAGCCGGCTTGTTGAATTGCTTCGTGTACTCCTTGAAGCGCGCCTTGAGTGCGTCAGTCGTTTCAGCGACATATGACTCGGCCGTGATCCGCTGGTCGTTGTACTGGACCTGGCTGTTAGCTCGACAGACTCTCCTCGACTCACCTTGAACTGGTAGTTCGCCTCCTCAAGCTCAAGCTGCACCGCGTTCGTGATCCCGTGCAGACTGCCTGCCATGCTTGTCTCGAGAACGTCCATGAGTTGCCTCCTCAGTGTGTCGGTACCAGTGAGGAGTTTGCCCTCGCCACGTCCTCGTACATTGTAATACCGCGCGTTTTCACCGCCAAACACCTCCTCCTCCCGCTTCAGCACGGCGTTCGTGACACGCGGCTGCGAGCGTAGGGAAGAGAAGACACCAGATGTTGGTGGAGCCTTACATACGACGCCCACGTATCCCAGGTGGAGGGGATACTTGTCGCCGCGGATGATGGACGCGCCCTGCTGCGGCGTCACGAGATCCATCTTCGTGACAACGCCAATGGTACGGTTGCCCAAGGGGTCCACGCGACGCGAGGCGCGAAGTGCAGGTGAGTTGGCCAAGTCGACGTCCGCGGCACACACCGCGAGGATGATATTCGGCTCGCGGATGTACTTGTCGCACAGCTCCGAGATGCTCTCCTTCAGCGAGTCAGGCTGGTCCAGGCTCGAAATCTGCACGTAGCCCGGCAGGTCGATGAGCGTGAGGTCTGGAACGTGCGGCGAGTGGATATTCAGGTGGATCGGCTTGTCGGACACGCACTCCTCGGCAGGAACGGCCAGGTTGAGGTCGGTGAGAGTTTTCTGGATCGTCGAGAAATTTGTCACCTTTCCGAGGTGCGGCATGTCTGGGAACTCGCCGTACTCGGCAGGCTGATTCGAGCCAGGCTTGGCAGGCGTGTGGATAAGAGTGAGCTCGATGGGCCGGCGAGTCACCATGTTGTCACCTCTGGATGTCAGCACGATGGCACGCAGGTGGTCGATTGCGACCTGCACTCACTTCGGCAGGAACTCGTGGCCGACAATAGCTTCGAGCACGGAACTCTTTCCAGAGCTTTGTGAACCAATTACGACAATAGAAGGCAGCTTGAGCGCGTCACTCTGGTCAACGCTCAGGAGAACCTGCCTGATCTCGATAAGCTTGCGGGTCAGCTGAAGGAGCTGGTGCTCCTTCGCTGTCCCTTCCGGCTCCTCATCGCCTTCGTGTGCGACTGCCGCCGCTGCAAGCGCAGCTGCTGCTTCAGCACCTCCTCCACTACCACCTCCGCCGCTGCCGCCTCCTTCAGGCTCCTCCTTCGCAGCCGAAGTCGTAACCGTTGCTGTCTTGTCTTCCTCCTTGCTCTTGAATTGGGAGGAGAAGGCATCCCACCACTCCCCTGCCCCACGCTGGAAGGCCTCTATCCGCCCTGTCGCCTCCTCCACTGCCCCCCGCGCGCCGCTCCCTACTCCCTCTCCAAGCGCGCCAAGCGCGCCGCTGCCTACTTCGTAGGCGGCGCCGAGTGCGCCCGCCGTCGTGCCGTAAGCGTTCGACAGGGTGTCCTTGACATTGCCCAGCACCTCGTTGGTCGCATTCCGCACGCCTGGGGTCAGGTCTATCTACATCGCGGCGCACCTTCGAGCTTGTAGTTTGCGTACCCGAATCCGCCGGCACCAACGGCCATTCCGTACAGCGGCACACGGAATGCGCGGGCCATCAGGCGCGGAATCGTGCCGAAGGAGATTGCCCGGACGTGCATCGAGCGGGAGGGAATCGTTACCCTTCCTGCTGAGGTGACGAACGGAGAGGGTGCAGACGGGTGGTAGCGCAACGCCAGAGGCCGCGGAGTGCCGAGCGCCCGCGGGCGGAGGGCGGGGACTCGGCGAAGCATCGTGTGGAGCCGGTTATCGGATATGTACAATTGCAGCCGGCTTTTCTATTGTGGTGATCTCTACGGAGGAGCCGTGAGAGCGTTGTCGCCGTTGAAAAGGAGATGTTGAGATGGATGAGAGATGAGAAAGCGGAGCGAGTTGAACGTCATGGCCCGCCGATCTGCCGGAGGCTGGTAAGCGGGTGGCAACTTCGGCACGGGACTAATGCCACGTGGGAGATCGTCATCCATCCCAAAAGTCTGAATACGTTCTTCTTGTCAATCGTCTATTGCCCTCCATCAATGAGTCGCCTCCAGTCTCTATCCACGCCGTCGCGGCGGTCTCGGGTGTCGCCGTCTCCCTCGCCCGCGCCCTCTTCTCCTCGCCCCCCAACGGAGACTACCAATCACCGATACCTTCGCCTCGTCCTTTCAGAGGTTAAGACAGTCCTCGCAACATGGGACGACATCATCCTCCAAGACGGCTTGAGGGCTGGCAAGGCGTGCATTGATGAGGCCACGGAGATGGAGTAAGCAAAGTGACACAGGTGCGAGCGACGGCTGACAAAAGTAACATCCTCACAATGCCCGATGGGCCCGAGCGCCCGCGTGTTGCACCGCATCTGGTCGCACTCGGTGATGCGCGTGCCGCCCTCCGTGCAAGCCTCTCCAAGCTCGTAAGCGGCCATGAAGCTGCAGCAGCTGACAACAGGATAAGCTACTGATGAAGCTCTCCAAGCTCATCGAACAGGCCGAGACGCTCTTCCTTGATGCGTACGCGAAACAGCAGGCCTCCGGGCCCATGTGGCTGTCCTGGACGCTGGAAGACTTTGTCGACTCCATCCCTCCTCTCCTTTCTTCCCATCACAGCGAGCTGCTGGAGCTTACCGCGCTCGCCAATACCCTCCTGGACCCCAGCACGAAGTTCGGGGCGGCGCGAGCCGCTCTCGAGAGGTGGCGTGATCTCGGACGTGGCGGGGAGCGCTGGTGCGAGGCGCGAGAGTGGGAGGAGATGGTGGACCTCGAAATCGGCAATGGGGATGGAGAGGAAGGGAAGGAGGACAGGCGGCGCAAGAAGCGCTGATGTGGAACGCCTCACCACGTGCCGCCGTCATGCCAAGGCGGCCAGTTGGAGTGATGGGATGATGCGCGTCGTTGACCGTGCGCGGTATGCACGGCAATGCGATGCGGAATAGCGGTGACGGCCAACGACAGCAAACGCTTGCGCCGTTGTTGTGCCCTCTTCTCAGCCGCTGTGCGCATTCAACAGTGGTGAACGGGTGTCTGTCCATCTGTGTCGCTAGTGACATGCCTCGCGCCACAGGCCTTCATGTTGGACTCAGATCCACACTATTCAATCCTCCGCCTACAAAAGCTCGCAACTCTGCATCTGTGTTTGTCTTGCTGCTCTGACTTCAACTACTCATCGCCACTATGGGTGCCAAACAGTCCGTCCCAGTCGAGGACGAGTCGTATGGCATCGCCGAGATGTTTGATGCTCCCGTGAGTCCCCAGCTCTTTCATCAAGTCACCTTTTGACGGCAGAACAAGCGCAGTACCCCGTTCTTGGGTCGGATTGCCGACAAGCTTCCCTTAACGCGCCGTTTCGCAACTCGTCGTTATCCCACCACCACACGGCACGCTGGCCTTGATTCGCTCGACAGCATCGGTGAGATGCGCTCTGCCTTGTCAGCCATGGGCGGATGGAACGAGCACCATGAGCGCGAAGTGATCCGTCCTACCGGGAGAGCGAGGCAGCTACAGCGCCAGCGACAACGTCGCCAACAACGGAAGGCAGGCGAGTGCAGCGAAGAGCGCAAGCGGGCGGACAGCCGCAGGCGACGCCGGCTTACAATGTCTACGCTAGAGGAGACGAGTGACGAGGGACTGCAGGGATTCGAATCCTCGTCGGATTCTTGCAGCTCCCCGGTCTCTTCCTCATCTCATGCGTGTGTCCACGTGCCTCTGCCATCGTCGTCCATGGCCCCACTCCCCGACTCTGCCCTCAAGGCAGCCTTTCCGACTTTTGTGATCGAGGTCGCCCGATCTCACGTCGTAGTTTCCTCGTCCCCCGACCAGCATACTCCACTGCGCTGGATGCCGCGCACAAGCATCTAGGACCGAAGGCGGCTTCTTACTGCTCGAGAGCTCGAGTATGTCGATGCGATTGTGGCACACATGAACAGCATGAGCTCTGAAGACTACCGACCTGAGTGGGATCTAGGTGGCGACACCGGGCAGAATATCGGAGGGCAGGTGGCATTCCATGAACAACACTTCTCCCGCCGCAACCACGCTGCCAGTGTTTCTTGCCCTAACATCATCATATAGAGCATTTCAACCCCGACATAATTTTCCGTGTAAATCACTCGAAGCTGTAGCGCGATGCACCCGATGCGAGAAGTATGCCATGCAGTTGTGCTCTATCATCTAATCTGTCCCCATCCATCGGCGGAACCACCACCGCGGCCCGCCACCCAAGATATCGTGCCAGAGGGTATTGGTCAGCGCGCCACGCAAGAAGTCGAGCCGCACGTCTGGATCCTCGCCCCTCCCAATACGCGCCATCTGCCACTCATGCCACACGGTAGACACGCCAGCGCCGACGAGCTTGATCCCATCATCTCGCCGCGCCACGACGCCATTCCGTTCCCTCCCTGGCCTCGAACTCTTGCCGCCTCCCAAAAGGCGGCGATAGAACTCGCTGCCCGGAATACTGTATGGTGCGACGCGCGCCTTCTCGGGCCCCAGCGCGCGGTTGAGGAGCACGCGCACCGGTAATTCGGGGAAGAGTGCAGCCGGGCGGCCGATGCCCGCGAGATCTGCCGCGCGCGAGCGGATGCAGCGCGCAATCAAGCTGCGGTCGTGCAGGCCGCCCGTGAGCATAATTGCCGGGCCCTCGGGCGCGGGCGGGAGGGTAGGGAGGAGGGCGCGGGTGAAGTGGGCGAAGAGGGCTTCGCGGCCCATTTCCGCGAAGGCCGGGTTGCCGTACGTGCCGCCCGAGACCTCGAAGATGTCGACGAGGCGCCAGGATACGATTTCGCGAATGACCGCGGCCGCGGCGTCTTCGTCCAGGCCGCCAGAGACGAAGTCGGAGCAGTTGATCTTGAGGGCCTTGACAAAGCGGCGCTCCGTGGCGGCGTGGATGCCCGTCAAGATCAGCCAGAGGAGGTGTAGGCGCACGGGGATGCGCTCGGGCACGCCGGGAAGCGGGCGCGGATGGGGGTTGGTCTGCGTCAGTACACGGCAAAGATCGGCTTACTAGTGGAGAGAGGTACTCGGCAAGGAGGTACCCGTGCGCGGCGTGTACTTGTACACCGCCCCAGCCGGCGTCTTCTACGGCGGTGGCGGCATCGACGAACTTGCCGGCAATCTCACACCACTCGGCCGGGTTGGTGACAGCGCGTGCTGCGACAGGCCACAGCGTCCGCTCGATCACCCACGCCATCAGCCCGCGCCCTACGGATGGGCGGCCGGAGGTCGGTCCGACCGAGGGCACCCACGGCGCACGCGTGAGGCTGTACGTCGCGGAAGACTGCATCCCGGCGTGGTTTAGCTGCACTAATGTCAAGGGTTTTGGCTCGGGCGCGTCGGCGAGCAGGCTCTCATGCAACTCGTGGAAGAGGGGCACCGTATGCGGCGAGTCGTATATCCGCAGGTCGTGCGGGGTCGCGGGCTGCGCGGCGTCCACTTGGACGTTGCCTGCGGTCAGCGGTGTCCTCCGGCTGAAATACGGTGCACGGACGGTCATGACCGGGGAACATGACGGCGCGGCCAACGTTGCCCGGCTCCACAATTTCGGCTGGACATACCCGTCAACACCACACCCCATCCGCCGCGTCCCCATCGCCGATACAGACGCCGATGTCGCCGCCCGGGCAGACCGCCGGCGAGTCCCTCCTCCATCGCCGCCTGTGGTCAGCTCCTCCAGGCAAACCGCGTACCTTCACAAGACGGTTGTGGATGACGACACCATTGGGGAGGGTGACGGGGGAGGAGAGGAGGTCGATATCGTCTGTGGGATATTCGTCGTTCATGAGCGCAGTCCGAGAGAGTGTAGAGGAGATGGTCAAGAGCAAGATGTAGAACCTGTAGAGATGCGCGAGAGGAGAAGTAATATACTGACCGCCTTGCACGCGCCGTGCCCGACGATCAAGGCACCCACAACAAATACCCACGTGGCGCATATCACATCCCCCCGCTTTAGGCTCTGTTGACCTGATCACTGCTCGTTAATCCACCTCGCTCTCATTCACTCTTCCCCACCATCTGGCCGGCACCATGGACGTCGACGAAGACGACACGCTCGGCTCGGCGTTTGGCCTGGGCTCCGTCCTCGCCGAGGCCGGTGTCGATGAGGCTGCCCTCAACGCCTTCCTCGAGCGCACGGAGGGCAAGAACTCGCGTGCCCTCGAGACGGCCATTCAGCAGGGCGACGAGAAGTACATGGACGACGTGAGCGATGATGAGCTCCCCGATGAGAGCGCAGAAGATCGCGCCGCGCGCGCGCGCGAGCAGGCTGCGATCAGGGCGAACGAGGAGCGATGGGCGCGACGTGCCGCTGCAGAGCTGGCGGGGGTCGGGGCGGGACCGAGCGACAAGGAGAAGCGAAGGAAACGGCAGGCCGAGCGTGCGGCTGCTGAGAAAGACGTTGTGCGCGCAGTTTGGCCCGACTTCAGGCAGGGGACGGTGCTCAAGATGTCCGAGGTGTTCTATGAGACACCGGCGGCGCGAGGGGCGATGGCAGCGGCTCTCAAGAAGAAGAAGCGACGGTTGCTGGATGGGTTGCCTCACGAGACTTGTGAGCCTCCTCGCCAAGGTCAAGCTGACGCCAGTTATGGTCACGGTTGAGCCTCAGAAGGAGCGCCCGCCCACCATGAGCTTCCTTCTGCCAAACCTCCCACCATTGCCGGTGCACAACCCGTCAGAAGCCAGCTACCTTACGCCTGTAGGACAGTTGTTTGACCAGCAATGGGTCAAAGAGGCGCGCGAAAGGAGACGGAAAGATATGACACGCCCTCCACGAGGTGTGCGTTTCGACGACAACGTTGAAATTCTGGAGGAAAAGCCGCTTGACCTCGCCGACTGGGAGAGGGATATTGTCATGTGTGGCCTGTGAGCGGCCTTCATTTGACGCTCGCTGACATCAGTGACCTTGCTATGACGGCGCACGATCCGCTGCAGCTCCGCAACGAGCACCTTGAGAAGAGTGATTGGATTGCAGATGTCATCTGGGATGCCCGCCGCGCATCACCTGACCTCATCGACGTGCACAGCGACGACGAGGAGACGGTGGCGATTAGGGAAAAGGAGACACCCATGACCGCCGCTCAGAGCAAGCTTGACCCGTTCAATCTGTCCAACGACCATCTGTATGAGCACAACCGCGCCTCGCGATTCCGTATTCGCCAGACTTTCGGCGCCATCGAGGTATTCCACAGCCAACCGGCCAAGATCTTGCAGATGCCGTATTACAAGACGACTCTGGACAAGAACGAGGCGCGCATGTGGCACCGCACACCGCTTCAGTTCCCGACCGGGGTGTGGAACTCGTTCTCTAAGCTTAAGGCGAACCATAATACCCAGCGTAAAAGTCGCTTGATGGCTGATCCGAGCGAGCGGTTCAAAACGACCAAGGACCTCAGCCTGACAGAGAAGGGTCCATTTGTACTCCTCGAGTTCTCCGAGGAGTATCCTCCTATAATGAGCGGGTACGGAATGGGCACGACCATCGTCAATTACTACCGCAAGAAGGATGACAAGGATGACACCGTGCCCAAGCTCGACCTGGGGCAACCGAGCATCCTGAACGTCGGCGACACGGAGCCATTCCTCCTCAGCTACGTCGACCCCGGGAAGGTCACGCAGATCATCCACAACAATCTCATCCGCGCCCCCATCTGGAAGCACACCCACGAGTCTACCGACTTCCTCGTCATCCGGTGAGCTTGTCAGAGCATATCGAGATCTAACGCTAGGCAAACGATAAACAATCACACGACGTACCATATTCGCGAGATCAAGGACCTCTTCGTCGTCGGACAGACAGTGCCGCACGAATCCGAGGTGCCCGGTCCACACGCGCGGAAGAATACCAACACCGCCAAGCTGCGACTGATGATATTCGCCTGGATCTTGATCAAGAAGAACAAGGAGCCCCAGCATCAAAGGGTCAAGCTCTCGCGGCTGCAGAAATATTTCCCGGACCAAACCGAGCTGCAGATGCGCCAGCGCCTCAAGATCAAGGGTAACGAGTTCCTCGAGTACGACAAGGAGGCGGGCTTCCACTCGGGCTTCTGGAAGCTGAACCCGAACTACGACTTCCCCACCGAGCGCAAGGAAGTCGAGGCACTCGTCACACCCGAGATGGCGTCGCTTTACGAGGCAATGCAGGTCGGCGCGCAGCACCTCCGTGATGCTGGCTACACTAAGACGGCAGAGGGAAACGCAGACGACGAGTTTGGCGATGGCACTGAAGCGGGTCTGGATGTGGAGCAGCGTCTTGCGGTCTGGAGCACGACGCTCAACTACAAGAAGGCCGAGGCGCAGAAGGCGTGGCTGCAGGTGCACGGTGATGGCGACCCGACAGGCCGAGGTGAGGGCTTCTCGTTCCTCAAGACGAACATGAAGAACTACTTCTTGCGCAAGGGCGAGACCGAGGAGGGTCGCCGCCTCGAGGCAGAGGCCAAGGCCGGCGGCGGGCCGGTCAAGATCTCCAATGCGGAGCAGAATCGCATCTACGAGGAAGAGAAACGCAAGGTCTGGGATTTGCAGTGGAAGGCGCTCAGCAATCCCGTCCCGCCCGCGCTCGACCTGGATTTGACAGCGGAGACGGTTGAGCCGAACCAGGCAATGGGCCCGCGCTTCCCCAAGGCCGAGCGCGCATTTTCGCGCAGCGGCAGCACGTTCGAATCGCCAATGGACGACCCGCGGTCCCCGTCCGCGTTCTCCTTCGACGGCGAGAGTCAGTTCACAGGCAACGACCGGGGCGCACACAAGGTGCTGCGGATCAAGCGCATCGTGCGAGGCAAGCAAACGGTGGAGATTGTGCGCGACCAAGCCGTCATCCAGTCGTACCTCCGTCGCGTAGAGGAGCGCAAGCTCGCACAATACACCGACGAGCTGGAGCACCTCGCGCCGACAGGCAATGCGGAGGAGGACGAGCTCAAGATCCAGGCGATCCGGGCCGAGGTGCTGCGCCTCAAGAAGAACCAGGTGCGGCGACAGCAGCGCAAGAAGTACCAGGGCAAGGGCGAGCTGCCCGAGGTCGCGGAGGGCGAGGGCAAGCGCCGCTGCGGCGCGTGCGGCGCGTACGGGCACACCAAGGCGAACCGGAACTGTCCCAAGTTCAACGCTAAGCAGGCCGACTCGTCGGGGACGACGCCTGTCGCGGGCCCCACGCCGTACGGGTACGGGGCGCAGATGGATGCGTATGCCCCTGCGACACCGGACGCGCCCAGCCCCGCGCCGATGAAGATCAAGTTGGCGCTGGGTGGGCCGCGCTGAGCCGAGCGCGAGCGCGCGCGAGAGAGAGCGGGCGGGAGGACATGCGTAGAGAAGTACAAACACCACATTATTGTATAACACCAACAGTCACACATTCCACGAGCGGGATGATGAAAGATGTAGCCATGTACAGCAAGTCAGCCGCGTGTGTACAGGTCGTTTCGCACCTCGTTCGGCATACGCTGATCTGTCTGTGATGTAGTCTAACCTCCCGATCGGGGCGAGACGACAGCAGGAGGGGGGCCGCTACCAGTCTCCAAAGCATGTGGCGTGTGGCCAGATCTGCAAAGCTCGCCGTCAGCAGTTGCCGTCGACCGCTGATGAAGGCTGTCTCCTCTCCACCACTCCGTGTCTTGACCACCTGACCAGGAGTCTAGCAACAGACGCGTACAAGTGTGACAATTAAGATGCATGCTCGCGCCCTCGTGCCGAGGAGGGCGCGTGCGACCTAGAGGAACATTAGACAGTGTCTGCACATGACGGGTAGTATGACTGGAGACAAGACGCTTAGAAAGCGGCGACGGCGGCGGCGGCGAGGAGGAGGCCAGCGGCGCTGAACGAGGCTGAGATCCCGGCACCCGAGCCGGCGGTGGGGACGGCGCTGGCAGGCGTCGAAGCGTTAGCGGCGGCGGCTGAGCCCGAGCCGGAGGCGGAGGCGTTTGCCGAGCCCGTCTGAGGTCAGCGACAGTGCTTGCTCAGCGCAGTGAGGTTCACTTACGGGTGCAGGGGCCGAGGTGAGGGGACCCGAGGGGGCAAAGGTCGCGTTGAGGACGCCAGAGGGATAGGCGACGGTGGTGGGGACAGGGAACTCGCCCGAGAACGACTTGGGGAACTGGTCCTCGACACACTCCTGGGCGAGCGACTGCTGCGCCTTGTTGAGGAGGTCGATTTCGAACTGGATCACGCCGGCGCCGGGGCCCTCGACGAGCGTGCAGTTGATACAGACCTGGAGGTCGGTGAGGAGGGTGCCCTGGGCGTCAGTGGGGGGTTACAGAGTTGCCAGAACGAGGGAGCGAGGGAAGGGCTCTTAGCGAAAGGCCAGGGCGTAAGTAGTCGCCGTCAGTGGTCTTTGGCGACCCAACTGGATGCTCCAGTAGGCTGGCTATATACGCCCGTTTGATCTCGTCTCGCTGTTTAGCAGGTAACTCACGTTGCACGCGCCGGCGCAGATCTCAGCGCCGGGGTTGCCGGGGCAGGTGGTGAACAGGTCCTTGTAGTATTTGCAAGGGGCGTCGCACGCGGGGGGGATCAGGTGCATGGGAAGAGCCTCGGTGTGGTGCTGGCGCTTGGCAAGAGCAGCGACAGCGCGCTCCGAGGGGGAGGCGAAGACGACTGGGGTGAGCGGGGGGTGGGGGGGAGGAAGTGGGGGGAAGGGGAAGAAGCAGGAGGCAAGATATCTGGCAGTGAACGAGAGGGAAAGTCGAGGTCGGGTCTGAAGCCAGTGGAGACAATGACGGGGACGGTATGGACAGACGTGTTGGACGCGTCTGCCGTCCTAACTCTCCAATCTACTGATCGACAAAGCCGTCGGAAGGATGTGACGCACGCAGCCGCGACATTGGCGAGGACGGCGCGCCCGCGAGGGCGGAGGACGCACCAGAAGCAGCGAATAGGGCGGCGAAGAGACGCATAGTGAGTGTGGGACGGAGGCGGCAGAGAGGATGAGAGAAAGCAAGAAGAGATAGAGATGGGAGAACGGAGAAGGGTGCTGCATGAGAAGTAAGTGGGAGCTAGTGAGTGGGGTGAGTTGGGTGCGAGGAGCGGGCGTGTGCGAGGGAGAATTGACGCGTTGCTTGGCAGGGAGGAGACGCGCTCGGACGCGTCGAGTTGTGTCAGTCGACCGAGGAGCGGAGGAGGAGAGCAGCAGCTTCTGTAATAGATCAGATGCCAAGGCCGCTCGGGCGCCACCAGGAGAGAGTTGGACGCCACAGGGTCGAGAGAATGGACGATGGTGAGCACGGTGGATTGGACGGCGAGCGACGGAATAGCCTCGGCAATTTGATTCCGTTGGTCGGTCATGCCCGGTCATGCCTCGACTGTTTCAGAGCTTGCCAATGCCACAACATACATCCAGGATATACAAAAGATACACGCAAGTCACGAGCAGATGTCTTGTCAGTCACAGTCTACTCGGCGTCGCCTCGGCGCTGCGCTGCTACATGCGCCGCCCGCTCCGGCTGCTGCGGTCAGTGTACCCTTGTCCGCATGCGCCTACGCACGTCGCAGCCACGGCCGTAGCCGCGGAAGCCGCACTGTAGGCGCTGATTCGGGTCTGTCTTCTTCCCCTTGTAACTCCAGCGCCGGCGCTTCTTGCCCTCCCTCTCCTTGCACCCCCCCGTCTTCTTCTCCCCCTTGGAGGTCTTGGAGGAACAGCGCTTGCCCGCGCTGCGGGCTCCGGCGACAGCACCGCCGAGTAGCTCGGTGCTGACAGCTCTGGCCTTGTCGACGGCGAGTTGCCCGCGAGTCAATGCGACATCGAGGCCACGGCGCGCTTGCATGATGCCGCGCCATCCGCGGGCCTGGAGCTGGCGCACTCTGTCCGCAGCCTGTACGCAGCGTCTGTCCGAGCACACACGCTCACGGGTGGCCCTGTAAAGATCGGACATTGTATGCGACGTCTCTATCGCGCTCTCAACGACAGCGCGGACCGCGGGTGACTTGACAAGCGCTTTGAGTAATTCGCGCTGATACTTGACTTCTAGCTCGATTTCACTGCGAAGCCACTGGCCGGCGTGATTCGTCATGTCTACAACCAGTTTCGCCATCCAACGGGTGTAGACGTCAATGGCGATGAGACCGTCGACGACATAGGCGGTCAAGGAGGCGGCCCGTGGGCAAATGCACTGCGCTGGAGGGCACTGACACGTCTTGCGTCTGAACTGGGGCACGACCGACAAGGAGTTGGCCACAGTCGTCGCAATGAGATCAGTTGAGCTCTCACCGCTCTTGCGCAACTTGCTCCAGACGTAGGAGTACTCGGAGGGCGCTGTGGGCGCCTCGGTGGGGATTTCCTTCGGCGCGACTGCGCTCGATGTCGTGAGAGCCGCAAGAGTGTCCTTGACGATCTGCAGATCTGCAGTACCGAGCGCCCAATGACTGCCAGAGGCTGGGGGAGGGGGGGGAGGCTGCGATGTTGGGGTTGAGCTCGTTCCCCACTTATGTGACAGCATCGTAATGACATCAAAGGGCGAAAGTTCGAAGTGCGTCAGTATAAGCAGCAGCATCCCGATTAGGACGGGTAGGACAGGCCTGGTGTTAACCAATGCTCTGAGAAGGGTCCACCTACCATCGCTTTCCCTCAGCACCGGGAGGGTGAGCAAGAAAGGGATTGCCCGGTGCTGTCTTCTTCTTAGCGTCAGGTGGGGGCATTGCGAGCGCAATTGGTGCTGCGGCCTCTGTCTCAACAAGCGGGGATTCATCTTGCTCGATGAATGAATCAGCGGTGCGGCGAGGGATTGCGCGAATGTTTGGGAAGCTATGAACAGGTGTGTTGTTCGTAATGGTCCCAGTGGTTGTTAGGCTTGCATTCGAGCTGGTGGGATCGGGGAAGATCCACGAGTTCTTAAACTCGAAGGCATTCGAGGCCGCAGGAGTGTCGTCATCGGCGTACAGCGAGTCCTCGATGTCGAGCTCAGTCCTGGTCTTTTGAAACTCGGGCCAAGCTGGCTCCTCGTCGTCCTCATCCTCGTCCTCGCTAGCGCTCACATCGCTCGGCTCGCGGCTGGACACAGCCAGGTCCGAGAGTATGCTTGACCCGAGTGCCGAGGCGGTAGAAGCAGCAGCGCTTGCGGCATCGGCATTGTCAACATTGAGCCACCCCTCGTCGTCCAAGTCGGACGAGTTGATAGAGAGGTCGTCATCGTGGTCCTCCTCCTCGATGGGCGCAGCGGTAAGATCGGGCGAGGGAGGCTCGTCAATCTCTACGGTTGGGAGGCGCGTCATTGAGCTTGGCCGGTCAGCGACCCATTCGCGACAGTACTCCGACATGAGGGGGGCGGTGTTGGGTGAGGCTTCGGAACAGGGCGAGGGTGGCGTTCAGGTAGGGCAGAGAAGTACGCCCGGGATATGTTCAGAAGGGGCAAGCTAATGGCTGACGAGGGGTAGAGGAGCGATGCGGTGGGGTGGAAGGGGGGAGAGTGGGTATATACTGAAGACTGGGGATGCGTGGAAGTGGTGCAGAAGAGGAGCTGATGGGAGTTGGAGACGACAGGGACGAGGATGGAGTGCTCGCTAGTCAAGCCCCGGTGCGGAATGGGGCGGGGTGTGAGAGCAGTGGCCGTGGCCTCCAGTGTAATGTGCAAGCTTGGGAGGACTGGAAGCTTGAGAAGGAGGTAGTTGGTAGAGGATAGACAGAAAGAGAGAGAGAGAGAGAGAGAGAGAGAGAGAGAGAGAGAAGAGAAAGAGATTGAATGGAGAGGGGGGGTAGGTGGCGGAGGGGGAGCGGAGGCAACGTACCTGTCTGTGTAGGATGTCTATGACCGCACTGCAGCTGCGGCGGCGGCGGAGGCAACTGTGGCAGTCGAGAGTCTAGTCAACCGATCGGATTCAGGTGCAGGAGACAGAAGCCAGAAGCGTGCAGACAATGTAGTGCGCCGAGGCTGATGGTTCGCGGGTGAGTGAATCTAGCGCGCAGGGTGGTGGCGAATAGTGTCCGGGGTGAGGTGACAGCTCTACCTTCTGGTCGTTACGTGGAGCACCGAGGGATGAGGGAGGGGGGGGGGTAGGTAGGGAGAAGTAGGTGCGAGTGAGAAGAGATGAGGAGCAGGAGACGTGGAGAGGAGGGGAGGAGGGGAGGAGGGGAGGAGAGACGTGGACGAGACGGGGTGGGTGTCAGCACATGATGAGAGCAGAGATGGTCATGCGGGGGCGTACCTGGGGTGTGAGGGAGAGATGTGTTCTTTTGATTCTGACAGGGCTAGAAATGTGGTGGAAGATGTGGATGATGTTGAAGAGATGATGATGAGGAGCGAGCAAGAGAGAGAAAGAGTAGATGAGTAAGAGACGAAGACGCAAGCGTGGAGGAGATGGAGCGAGCAAGGCGAGGAAGGCAGCAGCTGCTCGAGGCAGACGAGGTCACCTGGGGCTGTCGGTGGCAAATGCGTGCCTCCTCCTCCTGGGCGGAATGTATCCGGATCCCTTATCTCTCTTTCCAGCAGTCTCCCCCACTCCCACCTCTTCAAGCTCTTCTACTGTACTCTTTCCATCTCCATTATTATATTCATCTACTCGCCCATCAACCGTCTACCACCTCCACCTCCTCTCCATCTTACACCACCTCCATCCTCTTCCAATCAATCGCCTCTCCCTTCTCCTCCATGGCGACATTGGCCATATCGTCAGGGCCGGCAGTCACGATCCGGGGCCCAAACTAGCCCCTGATCATGTGCGCCGGGACCGCAGCGGCGCAATCGCAGGCTCAAGCGTCTCCTTCAGCCCTCCCATCGCACGCCGCCCAGTGTCTCCGCCTGCAGAGCGATACAGCGTCCGCTCGTCCTCTTCTGGCGGCGGCGCCACGTCAAACAGAGAAATGCCATCCTGCTGTTAGCGACCAAATCAACTTGACGTCCGATGGGGCACTCGTACTCACGGTCTCCACAACGCCCCATACTCCCGATGGCTGCGTAAGCTTACTCAAAGCATGTCACTCACTGAAGAACGGCTCTTCAGCACCTCCACGAGAACTCGCAGACCTGGTCCAGATGTTGCGCGCTCGCGCTCCCCCTCGTCAGCGAACCCAAAGACACGACCCGTATCTTGCAGGAGCAGCTCGGTATCGACGGTGAAGGTTAACGTGACACCTAAAGCGGGCTTGACGGTAGTTGTGGAGAACGTGGAGCGAGGGTTTGAGGGAATGCTCGATGAGGCCGAGTTGACGACCTGTGAGTGTCAGGCAAGGACATGGTGGCACACACGATAGTCATCATTCCCTTCGAGTGAGTCAGTTCCGCCACCTCCTCCATCCCGACGACCATAGCTGCATGTCCTTGTGTCAGTTTCCGATGCAGTCTAGGACTCACCTTGCGCGGTAGTACTCATCAGCGCGTCCCGGAGCAGACTCGCGACGTTGTCGATGACAAGCACGCGCACCGCGGGGTCATCCCTCACGCGCGCCAGCTCATCGAAGAGGTCGGGTTCAAGTCGAAACACTCTAGACACCGTGAGACGCTCGAGCACCGATCCCTGCCGTTAGCGAGTTCGCCCAGCATCCCACCTCTGCGCCGAGAGCTGTCGCAACAGCCTTGGCGCGCGCGGCATTGAACGCGCCTTCCGTGTCGACCCAGTGCGCCGTTGCATCCGGCTCGGCGATAAGCGTGCGCAGTGCAGCATGCAGTGCGAACAGCTGGTGTCAGTCCTGCGGTATTCGCAGCTCACGCTCTTGCCCACGCCCTTCCCGCCTGCAATTTCCATGACTCCGCTGGCTGAAGGAAGGACGCCAGCTAACACGCCGATTCCGTGCCACGATCTCTGGCGCATCCCAGCGCCAGAAGCCACGGGCACGCGCTCGAGACAGTGTTGGAGAAGCATGTCGAGTGCTGCATCGATGCGCGCGTCGCGACGCGCGGCGGCAAAGCTGCCCTCTGCTTGCTCGCCCAAGGCTGCGACCAGTATCGAGTGGAGCGTGGCGCGTGGGGTCAGGATCACGGCCTCGGTCGTGCGAACCTGTGGGTCTGAGGTCAGATTGTAGATTGTCGAGCGTCGGCGCGTAAGTCGTCGTGTGCGAACCTAGCAAGGGTACTAGAGCTGCTGCTTCTGGTGAAAGAGAGGAGGCAAGCCGTTTGAGGAGCATAGTGCAGTTGATGGATTGATAGAGTTAGAGTGGGTAACGAGGTAAGGCCGAGCGTTGGGTGATTGGCGAAGAGCGTCAACAAAAGTGGACGACCTCCACTCAAACTCACATCGCCCGTTGTCCATCGCATCCCGCGACTGATCTCATCTCCTCCTCCTCGTGACATTTCCATCCATAGCCCACTCCATTCAACTACTCATTACCAAAACAACCTCCTCTGCGAGCACTCCTACGCGACCTCGGAGTTTGACTCTCGACCTCATCACCACCTCCGTCGCCTTCCCGCCTCAGCGCCTCCTCCCTCCTCTTCGTCCATATCCTCCCCCCTCACACTTCCCGCCATGAACCGCAAATACGACACGTTTGTCCCCTCAGCCCTCCCCTCCGCCTCCCTCGGCCGCCGCCGCCCACCAATCGGCGAGCGCACCTTCGGGCACGAGGAGGGCGACGACCTCGACAAAGCGTACCACGAATGGAACGTCCGCATCGACAAGGAGGTCAAGGCTGTCGTCGACGGTCTGGGGGACCTGGTGCGCCTCGCCGATGTGAGTGACTTTTGGTATTGATTCTTGGGGTGGCCCTCCTCCCCATGATGTAGACACTGACGCCAGCTCGGCACCCCCGCGCAGGGAGCACACACGCTCACAGCACTCCATCTCAAGCTGAAGACAGCCTCGCTTATCCGCGCCTCGCAGCAGCTGCGGGATACGGCGCACGAGCTCAGCCTCGCGCTCGCGCTCGGCGACGACGTGGGCGCCGCGGTGCGGCGCGACGAAGAGGTGGGCGCGCTGCGCGCCGAGGTCGAGCGGCTGCGCGGGGAGATCGCGCGCGAGGTCGGCCAGCGCGCTGGCGGCGACGGGCTGGACGAGGCGGACGAGGCGGAAGATGCGTTGGAAGTAGGGAACGGAGAAGGAATGGGCAAGGACGGCGAGAAGGAAGAGAAGCCCGGCGCAGCGATGGAAGTCGACGAGGACGACGAGGACGAGTTCGAGGAGGTCTAGTGCTCGGCCTGCCGTCTCTCCGCATCATGTACAAGTAATACCCCGCATCTCCAGTACCATGCATATCTGAGTCGACGCATGGTTGAGTGCATCGAGTGGTCGGGTATGCGGCTCAGGAGAGAGAACAAAAGAAATCTGACGTAGCCTGGCGTCTCCGATTCGACAGCGACTTTGACCCCACACCACTCGTGCACTGTCTCCTCTGCACCAGCGCGCATGCTGCACGCTGCCTGCTGCGCGCTACTCGTGCCCACACTCCTCCCCTCTGCCCGCTCGCTGATTCCATGCATATTTCCTTGAATCCCTTACTCCTTGGGGCCAGCGGGGACGTTGACCTCGGGGTTGAAGAAGAGCGCCTGCATGCCCCAGGGGAAGGGCTTGTTGCTGCTGTCAGCGGTGTTCTCTCGATGGTCTTGCAGAGGGAGGGGGGTGGAGCGAGGAGCGCGAGGCGCGAGGCGCTGGCAGGCATGGGCCTTGCGCAGGACATGGCGCGCTCGGTCCGCCCACTCGGGACGGGCCGGTCTCATTGATGGCTGTGACGGCGGCAGACGCCCCGCATGGCTGACTCGTCGCGGCGTTGGAGGAGACGGGACGGAGAGGAGAGAACATCGTCCTTCCTCCGGCCCATTGACTGGGCCTCTCCGTCGCTCGCCTCGTCATCTGCACCACTCCGCCGTGCTGGCCCCGCGCCCTGCTCTATCCACTCCCCTCCTCCGCAAAGCGCTCAGGCGCATGCCGCGCATGCTCACCGGATGTTGAGGTACTCGTAGTCGGGGCGGACGGGGAGCTCGCCGCCGTTCTCGTGCTTCAGGTGCTCGATGTGGTCGTGGTGCTCCTTCTCGAGCTTCCAGGTCCAGGCAGAGCCGAGGATGGTCACGGGGATGCAGACGAAGAACGAGACGTTGCGCCAGAGCTTGGTGGTGCCTGCGGTCAGCGGTTTGTGAGGTGTCGGGGTGGGGCAGGGGAGCTCGGCGGATATGGCGAGCGCGGGCTCTGCGAGCGCGGGCTCTGCGCCCCTCGCGATCGGCCGTGTGCTCGCTCGCGGCGCAAGCGGAGCACCTGGCGCGCGGTGGCAGACGCTAGACGCTACACGAGCGACTAGCCGAGCCCCCCAACCCCGGAGCGTACACACCCTTGGCGTGCTCCTTGACGGCGGCGCGCTGAGCAAGGAACTCGTTGCCGGCCTCGGCGGAGGCAGTGGAGTAGTAACGGCCGGCGCGGGCGAGGGTGGTGGCGGAGCGGCGGGCGAGCATGGTTGGTTCTTTGGAGAGTGGTGAGGTAGCGAGATCCGACGACGAGCACGATCCAACGAGTGGCCTCCTACTGGCCTGGCGTATCTCCCACGCCCAGGGCGAGAGCTCACCGTACGCTACCCTCACCGGAGGGACTCGGCCACCCAAGAGCCGCGGGGTTTAGTGTCAGTGGCACATGCCACGTGGATAATGAGCGACTCTTTATCAGGTACCTCACTTAAACGCCGCCACGTCCCAGGCAGAGAGTTCCACGCCGTCGCGGCGAGGGAAGGTCGCGTTTCAAGACGATTACTACCCCCAATTACTCTCCTCACTCAACTCGTTCACCTCGTCGTCGTAGTCGTCGTCGTCGTCGTCTCACTGCCGTCACCCTCCCTTCTTACCTCTCCCTTGCTCTCTCTCCCCTCCGTCGTCCCCCACCCGCCCGCCTGGAACCATGGCGCCAGGCATCTCCTACGATGACTCGGGGTCGCTCGCCTCCTACTTCGGCGTCACCTGCCTCGCCATGATCCTTATCCCTGTGACATTCACCACACTGAGACCAGCGCCCAAAGGTATGTCCACAGCGAGCTGGCCCGCTAGAATACATGAGATGCTGACGCCGCCCGTTCCATCTTCAATGTGCACTTCTGCCTGCATCTCTCGCATTCCTCCAGACCCCCACAAGTCATTGTGCGACTGCAATGAATGTCGTGCAAACAACAAGCGCAAGGCCGCGCTCAAGTCGGCGAGCCGCGGCCGCAAGCTTGCCCGCTATATGGTTCCCCTCGTCCTTGGCTGGGCGGCGCTCTTGTATCTCGCATACGGGATATACAAGGCCCCTCCACTCGAAACCACCATCTACGACCCCTTTGAGATCCTGGGCATCCGCACATCAGCAAGCGACAAGGAGATCAAGAAGCACTACAAGAAGCTGTCACTGCAATAGTATGTCCAAAGAGATTGACTGTGCTCACTCAAGCCACCCGGACAAGGTCAAACTTGGCCCCAACCAGACGTATGACGAGATCGAGAACAAGTTCGTAGACCTCACCAAGGCCTACAAGGCCCTCACCGACGAGGCGACTGTCGAAAACCTCCGCAAGTACGGCAACCCAGATGGGCCGCAGCAGCGCGAGGACAAGATTGCCATCCCCAAGTGGGTGGTCGAGGGCAAGAGCTCAATTTGGGTTTTGCTTGCGTATGGCGTTGTTCTCGGTGGTGGCATTCCATTCGTCGTCGGCCGCTGGTGGTTCCGCCAGCGCAAGTTGACGCGCGACGGCGTCCTCAACTCGACTGCCGAGAACATCTTCCACAAGCTGCGCTCTGACACGGATTTCCTCTCCCTCATCGCTCTCCTGTCTTCCTCGGACGAGTTCCAGACAATCCTGGCCCCTCGCCGCAAGCTGAGCAAGAAGGACCGCAAGGAGCGGCAGGCACGCGTTGAGGCACTGGAGCAGGAGCTTGACGCAAAGCGTGCTGACCTTCTCATCAATGAAAATCCCATGATGAAGAAGGACTCGCGCGTTATTGTCACGACTGCCACCGCGCGACGCGCCCGTGCGCTCCTCTGGGCCCATCTCCTCCGCCACGACCTTCCCAAGGATCTCGCTGCGGAGCAGCTCGAGGTTCTCCGCGCCCTCCCTCCGCTTCTGCAGGCTATTGCCAACATCGCCCTTGGCCACAACTGGCTCAAGACCTCGCTGCTGTGCCAGCAGCTCCAGTCTGCGCTTGTCCAGGCAATTCCCATCGGCGGCTCCCCGCTTGCCCAGCTTCCCGGGATCTCGCTCCAGAGCGGGCTCGAGCTTGAGATTACCACTGGCGCCGAGGGCCGCAAGTGGCTGGAGAAGTGGGTCGCCATCAACGATGAGAAGTACCCGGAAGCCAACGCGGTTGCCCGCAACTTTCCCCGTTTGGAGGTGACCGACGTGGAGTTCAAGGGTGAGCTTAATTTGGGTCCAAAGCTGACATTAGTGACTGGCGAAAAGGTCGTTACGCCCAGTTCCATTGTGCAGCTTGCGTTCAAGGCGCGTTGGGTGCACCCCAAGGATCCCAAGGAGGTGTCGAACGGGAGTGCGCGCGCCGACTCGGTCGAAGCGGTTGAGAAGGAGGTGTTGAAGGAGACCAAGGAGGAGAAGAAGGACTACCCTCCAACAGGGTATGCGCACGCGCCACGCTGGCCCGCAAACCGGTCCCCGGCGTTCTTTGCGCTAATGGGTGACTCGAAGCTGGACAAGGTGATTGTGCAGCCTTCGCGTGTCGCAGATATCCCCTTCGACCAGGCGCGCGAGTACTCGCTGCAGTTCCAGGCGCCCCCACAGCCGAATCTGTACAGCTTTGTGCTGCACTTGACCTCGGACACGTATGTCGGCGCCGACATCGCACGCCCAATCATGCTCAAGGTTGAGCCTGCGCCGCCTGAGAGCGATGGAGATGACGACATTAGCGAGCCAGAGGAGGACAGCATCGCGGGCCAGATGGCCATGATGTGTGGTGAAAAGGTCAAGCCGTCTGCGGTGCACGAGGAGAGCGAGTACGAGACGGACACCAGCAGCGATGAGGAAGGGCCACGCCGTGGGCGGGCCATCAACGAGGACACGGATAGCGATAGCGACTAGTAGATGTGCATTTGCATCGTTACCCGCGCGATGATACCATTGCATTGTGAGGGGGAGATGAGCTAGCGAGGGAGTAGCTGAAGAGCTTTGGTCGCCTAACGAGGCATACGTACGGGTCGCCAGTTAGCCAGCGGTGGCCATTCTGTGGCTGCGGCACGCACACTGCGTTATTCAGTCTCCGCAGTGAACAGCATGCGCAAGCAAGCGCGGCGCACATGCTCGTGATGATGACGCTTGTCAATTGTCAGCTTGTCAGTCAACGTGTTGCATGCATAGCTTATCGCAGCGACCCGCAGCGCATGCATCTGCCTGCGACGACGTCGTCTGGCAAAAGGCAATGAGTATTAAGGGTGTTGATGCGGTGCGCGCTGCGTCCCTGTCGATCGGATCGACAAGCGTCATCACTCAACTCTACATAAACACTCCCATCTCCATCTCCATCTCCATCGCTCTCATGTCAACTCACCTCAACCACCCCCACACCCTCTCCCTCGACCTCGCCATGGCCGAGCCCGTCCTCACCGTCCGCAACCCCGACCCCTCCCCGCCTCCCAGTCCTCCACACCACCCTGGCGTCATCCGCGCCCACTCCATCGAACCCGAACTCGCATCCACGCCGCCTCCAGCCTCCCCGCCCCTCCCCCTCTCGCCTGCTCCTCATACTCTTCCACCACCATCGCACCCCGGCCGCCGCGCCCCCCGTTCCCCCGCCTCGGCAGAACATCCCCGCCGCCTCCCCCCTCCAGCCGACCCATCAAAGCCCGCGCCGCCCCTACCCTCTCCCC